GAACAGGAGTCACTAACAAAACATTCATGGCCGCTACTTTTTTTTTTTCGGCTTTTAGGAGAAATAGCGTGCATCTAAATACGATTGGAATGCGCAGAAAGGTAATAAGCAAAACAATTTGATTGTGTTTAAAGCTCCAGTCTGGCAGATTGAGGCCCACGCCTGGCAGGTTGTGGAGTTCCTTTCTCGAAGCCATTTGCACCAGCCACACGGTCATCAAGGTTTCAACCGCTCATCGCTGATGGTGTCGGGAACGTTGACTCACGTTGCTGGATTGTTGTAAAGGAAGTTTGTAGCCAATTCGAAGGGCTGTACAGTCTTTACCATGGCTTCATCGGGCTTTCACATGGTTGACACTGGTTACGGGATGGCTTCACCGGGTTCTGACTGTCTTGGTCTTTTTTTTACTATACTTCAGTTACAGTTTCCAGATTATTGTTAAGGATTTTCTAATGTGATGGTCGGATTCTCACCTGGATTGCTGCCGTCTCAAGCTTCTTGCAACGGATTTTCACTTGGCTCGCTAGGAGCTTTGAAGCTGTGCCGTTGAAGATTTCCCTCTTGGCTTGAAACCTTGTGGGATAATGTCATAAGGTCTTAGCCTGGTTTGATGCTGGTTCTGGTCTAGTTCAAGTTTCACACCTTGCTGCCGTTGATCACGCCTCCCAGGTATCGTGATGGATTCCTCCTAGCCGGGTTTGATACCATGGAGGCCGTCTCCATGATGACAGAGGAGCACTACATTGCGTCGGGAGGGTTCCACTTTCCCGCTTCTCTCCCCACATAACTGGAGGAACACTCCCTCTTGCGCTTGCCAGGAACATATGAAGCACCTCGACATGCTGCCAGGCCACGTTGTTCTTCTCCGAAAGCGGCTACAAGAACTTTTTGCAGGCCTGGAAGCGCACTCCAGACGCACATACTACAGATTTCCCGTGTGACCACTGCATACCTTTGCCTTCCTCTATGGAGGCGATTGACCGTACGTCCACCTACATGCCCGTTGTACTCTTTTGACAACCTGTCACCCCTGTCAGATTCCTCTTCTGCGTTGCATCGCTTGTGACCTGGCTATGAAAAGAGCCTCCGGTTTTGCCCCCTACCAACCGTGACCATAGCCCCTGGGAGGCGATGTCCCGGACACCAAAGCCACCAGGCTCCATGGGCAAACAAACTCATGTCTGTTCTTTAGCCTTTCTTAACGCTCACATCTCTTTGTTTGCAGCTTTTCACCCGCCCCAAAAATGTTCTTGCCACAACAATTTTTCAGCCAACGCTGGCGCACTAGCTGCACCAGTAAGAGAGGACACCTTTGCCAAGCACTGCGTCACGAGCATCGAAGCTCGGCAAGTTTGCGACATGATGGTTGAAGACTTCATCACTTTGATAGAGTTTACATTCTTTTTTGTTCACGTTTCGTTGTTTTGACACAGTGCCACATTACTAGAGATTAGTAGAGAACCACTTTTGCTTCTAGACAGCTTGCTTCTTCAACCTCTACTGGATGTTGCTGCCACACTGGACATTCTAATCTCTTCTACGACAAGGTAGCAAAGGCAAAGGTGCAAAGGGCAAGGCTGGACCTTCTGTTGGCTGGGCTTAGCACCCCGCTCCATGCTTTCCTTGAGAAACTACACCTTTCTTTTGGCATGTTGAAGGCAGCAAGCAAGACACCTGGATTGCTTAGCCAGCCAAAGGCGGAGGCTGACATCAAGGCATCAACTGCCTCCTACGTTGTCATACTGGTCCTTTTAATATCCAAAGCATTTTGCTTTGAGGAAGGCGATGTTGAGAAATTAAACCCAATCCCTGGAAGGACTGCATATACTTCACAGCCCACCGCAAAAACACAGTGAACACATTTTCGAAACTGACCGCAGCCTCACAGCAATGCCGCAACACAACTATAGAAGAACTATCCCAAAATCCCGCAGCGCTGCGATGCGACTGACGCCGCCCATGGAATTTTGCTTTCTCCTTTTCTGATACCGAATTGGCCCGCGAGGCCAACCGTGCAGACCCAGTGCAGCACTGCAGGCCCAACTTATGATTCTTGGATTCGGTTCCCATTTTTACCCACCTATGCGCAACCTACACCAGAGTTGCTCCAAGAAGAATTTGTTCCCAGCCGACACTTCTGTTTTTTTTTGGCATGGCTATGCTCCGCACCTTCCAACTGGAACCAAAGGCCGACGACGGGCTTTTTAGAGGAGGACTTGTGCATACGACGTTTTGTACCGCGTCAAAACACGACATTTTGAGTGACAGAATTTTCCGACACCTATCGAGCAACTTGCCAACCAGACTTACTTACCATGGCTTCTTGCGTTTGCTTCCATTTTCAATCCAGGAGCATTTGTAGCTCCAGATTCCTGCAGTTTTTGCTTTCGCTCTTTAGGCTTTTGATTCAGTGTAAATATTTCACCTCACCTCTTGGCTTTACCTGTTTGAAACGTTGTTGACACTTCTTCCCACGAACCCTAGCAGTTACTGACCATGGCCACACCAAAGCCGCCTACGGCAGGAGAACGAGCACACTGACAGCTCGCGTGTTATCGACTAATCACAGCGCAGCCAAAGCTGACCATTTCCATGACGTTCAAGTATTTCTTTACATTAGCCGAACGTGAGGTTGGCTGGAAGACGCACTTCACCTTGATAAAATATGCCCTAAAGGATGGAGCTTGCTGTGCCTTTGATGTATTACTCTTCATTGCCTCGACCCCTCTCGTCCCCTCCCCGCTCAGGTGTGAGGTCAGAAGGTTCAAAACCTTCAAAGCCAACGGCCGGGGCCCTACGCGTCCTCCTGGACACAAGAAAAGGGCCACGCTTCGAGCCCAACGCCTCGCTCGCCTCTGGCGATGACTGGGCTTCCGAACCAAACCAGCTGCGGCCGCTTGAAAAAGACCTTGCGGACCGAATCTTCGAAGGACCTAAGGAGCCCAATCAGCATATTTGTCGATCCTCTAAGCTAAACAATTCAGATAGAAGTTGCTCCCAGAAAATGGTGCTCAGTTGGCAGGCAATGTAATGCAATGTAATGTAAATGTAAATGTAAATGTAAATGTAATGTAATGTAATGTAATGTATGTAGGTACGTATGGTATGGTATGGTATGGTATGATATGATATGGTTTGGTATGGTATGGTATGGTATGGTATGATATGATATGGTATGGTATGGTATGGTATGGTATATGTATGGTACGGTACGGTACGGTAGGGTAGGGTATGGTATGGTATGGTATGGCGTGGCATGGCATGGCATGGTTATGTATGTTTGTATGTAGGTAAGTGTGTATGTATGTATGTATGTATGTATGTATGTATGTTCCGCAAGAGACGCTGTAAATGTGGGCATGTTTAGAGGACTTGGATGGAGGTTTCCGCAGGAGGTTCACGACTGATGCTGGCTGTTACATGGTTTGTAGTTTGTGGTGTTTGTTTTGCGGACCCTCATATGTAGGGGTCTGGGGTCTCAAATCCCAGGGTTTGGGGACCGGCCGGCTTGTGAACAAACAGTTTGGGTGATGCATTTGTCAGTTTGTTTCAGAGGACAAGGACCATTCACCACGTGGCGCATGGGGTTTCCAGTTGGCCTCTGCCCCACACTCATCTTGAAATTTCAACCTGATTGTGGCAGCCACAGGTTTTCCCAATTGAACTTGGGCCATGCAAAGAAAGGCAAACACTTGTTGGAAGCAAGGTTGGTAACAGATGATAACAGCAGATTCCAACCAGAACTTCGGATTCATGCGGGGCCTCGTATCCATCAGGAGATTTTCGCCAACTCGGAACATACAGCACCACTCAAAAGGTGCTTGATATACCCTGACGTCCTTGGGGTTGCTGGCCGACCATTGACTCAATGGGTTGAATCTGAAACAACCATTGTTTTAGTAAGGATTTTAGACTACAAAGCCAGGTCAACCAATTTTCAATGGGTCTTTCAAGGCTATAGGCTATAGTGTGTGTTCACCATCCAATAACCATTTGAACTGGGTGGTGCAGAACGAAAACAGTTCTTTCTGTTTCTGCAGCCTTAAACATCCGTTCACCGACAGTGGCACCCGGAGCTTGCAAAACCTCACAGAGAGACAAAGCGAACGCCGCGAACTCCACCGACCACGGACAGAGTCGATCGGCTGACTTGTGCGACGAAAGTAGGGAATGAGGGCATGGATTTAATGGAATCTCGGGGGGGGTGAAGGACCTGGTTCACCAAGGATCCAAATCCGCCAGGATATTCGCTTCTGGGAGGCCGAGGCCCACCCGCACGAGGCGCGAGAGGAAATTCGCTCGATGCATCGCATCCTGAAGTTCGGTTCGACGTTTTTTCCTGCGTGTGAGTCCAGTGGGATGGAGCAGAAACTTGAGGCGACACAGGTGTTTTGCTATTAAACAATTTGAACTTGGGGGTGGCAGTAGACCTCTGTTGGCGGTTGTCTTTGGTTCCACGGAAGTCGACAGATCTGGTGGTCTTTCTGGTCGCTCGTTATGAATGATGTCTCCTTGGCCAGACGGCCGGACGGGGCAGTTCTTTTTCCACTTTCCACGTCCAACCACCGTCAGGCGTCGAGTATGGGGCGCGGTCTCGTGGATGCGCAGGACCATGACCACTACCATGGCTTCGTGCGACAGCAGGTTCGGGAGAAGATGGATCAGGCGGATGGTTCGTGCCCACGTCCGGTCGGTGGTGCGTGGGGGTGTAGCTGGGTGTAGCTGAGTGTTTGTACCGCGCGCGGACGTGCGGTACACAGTGGTGAGGATTTGGATCGGGGATGTCGCTGCCACCGAAAAAGAGATGCGAACTCCTTGGAGGTCGCACTCCCTACAGGTCCAGTCATACCCAGGTCCAAACCCCTGAAAAACGTTGAGTCGTGTAAAGTTTGTATGATCAAGTGACGTGAGGTCAGTTCCTCAACCTCCAGTACCCTCCAACAGGCCCCCCAAACAGTTGAGGCCCTCCAGCAGGGTCAAAACAAGTGGAACGACCCATGCCTTTCGGAGGCGTTGAGCCGCGTCACCGGTCGCCAGGCGTCCGAGGAGTTGGACCATGCCTTGGAGATGCAGAAGGTCTACCGACACATGGCCCCTCGGACGGGACGACAGCGAGCGACCTCGCGAGGACGACAGGAGCGCTCTGAGGGTCGGACGGAGGTGGCGCGGAGGGGTGTGGAGCTGTCTCCAGGCACGGAGAGGTGGGGTGTGGAGTGGAGTGGGAACGTTGCTTTTCACACGGCCTTTAGAGATGAGGCGCTGGTGGTGTTTTTTTTCATTCAGCGCTCCCAACGTTGCCAGAAGACCGACCCAGGTCACCGGGCGTCTGGCGCCCCGACGGAACCGTCCGGGGTGAGTGGTTCAAGGGACCGTTCTGGGTGTGTATTTCGGAAAAGCCTGTTCTGACGGAAGGTGTGGGCTTGAACACTTGGACTCAGCTTGCGGTGGGGTTCGAAGGCTAAGATCTTCTCCTGGTCGAATATGGTCGAATGGCTTTTTAGTTGGACAGTCCCTTTCGACCTCTGGGGTTTCAGGGTCGACCTATGGGGCGTCCACAGTGATCAAGAGTCCTCGAGTCCGGTTTTGAGGTCCAACGCCTTTTGCGGGAACAGAAGATCCTGCAGCAGAAGGCGCTTGGTTCTTTTTTCGGCGCAACCACTTGCCGGCGGAGCACGACTCGTCTCCCTACACCGGAGAGCTATGCAGAGCTCCGCGGAGCTCTCGACAGATCGGTTGACGAACGGTTTTCTGTTTTCTTTTTGGATCAACGAACCGAATCTACCAACACAATTTATATACTGTAATATATTCGTATTTATTCCTTTTGCCAAACAAATGGGTTGTCTTGAAGGTTGTTTTCGCCACAACTAGAGGGCCGCATCTGCCTTTCCGGAGGGGAATGAAGCTGCTGTTGACATTGGATGTCCCTGTGACCTGTGTAAGATTCCATGCAGAATCTTCAAAGTTACCCTTTCGCAATTTTTACGTGAGCTTTTTCTACCTGACCTCAAACTAGGGCATCAGGTCACCTTGAAGAACGGCATTCACAATCTTTCAACTTCAGGGGCAAAGGGTCAATCACCGTTCCATGAGTGCGAGGATCACACAGGATCACCCCATCTTGATTAAAGAAAGTCCACCCCAAAAGAACACCTTTTTGAGCCCTTCGCTGCTTTTCTGGGCTGCGCCGCAGGTGATGATCATGGAACACCATTTGAATCGCAAGACTCGAGAGGCCTTCGGCTTCTCCGGGTCGAAAGATGCCGACCGCACCGGTTTCTTTTAAAGGAAACAGCTGGGGCCCGTGTGGGTTGTTGCAGTTCTTGCAGTTAGCGGTGGTTCTGGTCGTCCTTCTGGTTGGTATTTCCATGCAGGTTCTGAGGAGATTGCCCATAGTTTGTCCAGTTTTTGCTTGCTCGTAGTGTCGGTGAAGGTGGAGTTGACAGGGGGATTCAATGCCCAAAGTCCATTCAAAGCCCAAGGGGGTTGCAAGATGTTGTAAGACAGCTTTTCAACTGACAGGTTGTTTGCCATTTTCATTTTTTCTCCAGCCTCACCTGATTTCAGCATCAGCTTTGAGCCACTCAACCAGACCCAATCAGCCTCGGACGTGGGACGTGGCAGTTTGTGCATCTTACAGATCACCAGGTCGGACGCCTCCCTTCGTATGAAGACCGGTCGACCACTTGTTTGGGGAAATCCGACCGATCCGACCAGTGTCTCAGACTTCTCAAACGAGACTCGCTATCCGGGCGTAGACATGACCGCGTGGTCATGGTCATCGTGTTTCCCTGTTCATCTTGTTACCATGACACTCCGAACTAACAATGGTTACGTGGAGATAGGCCCTTGGAAGACCATTGTACCACTACAAACAGGTGGTGAACTCCACGTAGCCCGTTCCAGGAAGAGGTAGGAGAACGAGTCATCTCTCGGAACGGAAAGTCACGACGTGCGATTTGGACGTGACGTGAGTGACCATTTGAGTGACGTGAGCACACGAAGACCAAGTGTTAAGAGATGTTAAGAGTTAAGATTCATTGTCTTAACGAGACACACATGATGCTTACGAGTTAATTCTTTAAGATTCATGTGACACACATTATGGTTTCACGTTTGTTTCTACGAGACCCGTTAGATGCTGATTTGTTTGTTCTGTTTGTCCTGCAACCGTCAGTAAAAGATGATGAGAGAGTGGTTTGATAGCAGGCCCCATCATCCACTGGGCGCTGATGGGAGAGTAGATGGCATTGGCAAATTGGCACCCCAAGATGTTTTTGGAGACGATTCCATGGAAGTGAATGGCACCCCTTGTTCGTTCGTAAAGGACAGTCGACGACTTTGAAGGCACCATGCCAGCGACGGTAACCATGTTTTCTGTGTTCGTTTTTTTTTTGTAAACACCGTGTTTTCTTTCAGAAACGACAAACGACACTCCTGCACAAGGACCGAAGGCCACTCCGAATTCTGAACAGATTGGGTCGGATTGTGCTGGGGGGAAACCCACCCGCAGGCCAGCGGTAGGGGTGGCAGATCGCCCACGGACTCGAAGCAAGCCCACGTTTGCCATGCTTGGACCCACAAGACCCGGGGTACTGCGTGTATTATGCCAAGATCTTCCACCTGTGCAACATCTCTGCCTTTTCATCCATACAAATCAGCCAAAAATGCTGAACTTTTGCATAGTTGGAAGATCCAGGTATATAAGATTTGTATTTATATGTCTTTTCTAAAGAACGCCTCAGAAATTGGATCCAGGTCGTGGCGCTACCACACCTTGCACAGACCGGTCCGGTATGTCCGGTGTGGCGCACCGGACATGTGCAGCATGATGGGTCCCCAGACCCACCGGAGTCTCCCAGACCCACAGGAGTCTGCTCTTCACCCACCGGAGCGTGCATCTGATTTGACTCCAAGACGGTCATGGATGGTGAGTACGGTCGACCTCCCCGGTCGCGCCGACCCAACGCGTGCGACCGGGCGGGACGGGCGCCGCGACGTGGACTTCGCCGTCGCACCGCGAGGTGGAGACCAAGCAGAACTTCAGCCGTCGCGTGAATGAGGAGAAGGTGGGTGGTGGGCGACGCATCGGTGGTGTCTTTTCTTTAAACGTTTGGGTGGTGCAAATAAGAACATAACACTCTCCGGTCAAGCAGCATGGAGATGCAACATGTTGGAAGAACCGTCTTAGACCGCGAAGAACCTTTTTCAAGAACAACGTCACGAAGAAAGACAACGCACAAATACACTTAGAACAACATGTTCTTAATGCATTTTTAATTTTTTTCGGTGGACAGATGGGCCGGGACTTTGGGCAGCGAGAGACCAAATACGACGCCGCACGGTCGCACGTGCGTCGTGACGGCGTGGTGACGGCGTTTTTTTGCCGGCGAAAGCCATCCACCATGCCACTGTGGAAGATAGGGCCAAAACTAAATGCTACATCCCCACAACTAGAAACCATAGGAGACAAGTAGATGAACGTCCCGTAGGCCATGTCGCTTTGTGCTTGGAAGTAGCAAGCTTGAGCTCGTTGAAGATGCTTCGACCCCCAAAAAGGACATCATAGGACAGCTTTCTCTCCACAAGGGCGTCCACCCGTGTGGCAGGTGGGGCAGATGGTGAAGTTGGAAGTCCTGGAGCAGGCGGGACTGACCATGTTTGCGCGGAGGGTTTGGCAGGGTGGATGGAACAAAGGCTAAAAGTAGGGTCATTTTGGATCCAGCGGCCCGAGAAAAACGGTGAAGCAGGAAAGGATATTCCCTTGATCAGTCTTGAGTTTTTGAAAACATAACTGACTTGTGCGACGAAAGTAGGGGAACGAGGGTGGCTGGCTTCGGAAGTCTCTCAAGTTTCGGGCGTTCCCGTTCAGCCTTTCGTCGCACCAGTTCACCAGTTCAGCCTTCCGTCGCACCCTACCTCCGGACGTGTGTTTTCGTCCTCGTGGACGTGTTCAGCACCGAAGCATCTTCCACGAGCTGAGACAGCTTTCGATGCTGAACACGCTCGAGCGACGCGGATCGAGCTCGGCGGATCGAGCTCAGCACTGTCACCGGGTGCGCGCACCGGGGGTCCGCAGGGATCGCATGGTTCGGTCGGCATCCGAAGGGACCGGACGGTGGTGCCATCACGTAAACGTTCGCATCGCCGTGCACTGCTTCACGGAAGAAGACATCCTGTCCAACACATCGGACAAAAAGACGGGAGATGTCCCATTTGGCAAACGTCTTGAGCAGTTGCTCGTTGTTCAGCAAAGATGCTAGGGTACTTCTGGGCAGACGTAGCGAGAAGACGGTTTGTTTATGTTCAAAAAGTCTTCGACATGATCCTCCATCCCTTTTGGATGGAGTGCTACTCCGGACCCTTTTCATCTTCACTCCAGTTCGGAGCTTTCCTCCATTCCTTTTGGATGCGACCCCGGAGTTCGGGTCACGACATACGATCGCGACACAATCACTGCCTGCTCCTTTTGTATGCTTTCATGCTGAAGCACCGAGCATGTTTCGGACGTCACCAATGCATTGCTGTCCTTTAGATAGGAGGGAGGTTTCCGAAGAACCAGAAGGATTTGCACAGAGTCTTTCCAGGTCCAAAATTTCTCATTGACCAAAAGGACGGTCCGAGACATAGACGACTGTATATATTATAACACAGTCATTGGTCTTCAAACACACATCCATACTTAATGAAGAATTGAGTCCAGCAATGATGCCATGTAATTACCCTAAACATGTTTTGAAACAAAACAAGTTTCTGTCACGCATGCTTTTAAACCATTTTCAGTGCAACATATAAGACTTTTCAGAGAAAAGCACATGCATGAGACAACGTCGAGACACTTCGACACATGTCATTGAACACATCCTTTATGCAATTCTTTTTTTCGCACAACATCTTGGTCCTTTGAACTGATGAAAGCCTCAGTCCCTTTGAATAAAGCACGGCATACAACCAAGCTCAAGCTCCCACTAGCCTAAGCCTAAGCAGCCTAAATCACCCTCTCCAGCCATCCAAGCCCCCCTATACGTATGGACATCCCCTTTTTGACGGCTCTTTCAACCTGGCCCATCGTTTGTTTGTTTCGTATTTTTTGAGGTCCAAGATTACCAAACAAAACACGTTCACAACATGGGCATCTCACTGTAGGTCAAAACACTCAAAAAGACCCATCCGTTCGTACGAGCACCGTTTGTATCGTTTGTTTGAGAAAAAAACACGTTTATTTCCCCAAACAGTTTACTGTTGGGGGTTCTCAATGCTTTAAAGAATGGTCGATTTTGAAAAACACAAACTGTTTGGGGTCTACGGTGGTGTAATTTTCCTCAGGACATGCACCTGGAACGGATGATCTGCACCACGGCCCTCAGCGACCTGTCGGCCGCCATCGAGCAGCCTCTCGGGCTTACGCTGGGGAATGGACGTGGGGGGGTTTGGGGGGTTCTCTTATTCTTGGCCGAATGAATGGCTTGTCTTGGGGTGGAATGGGTTGTGCCTTGGCTTAGGTTAGGTGAAACCATCTGCCTTCGGGACCTTTTGGACAAGATCAGACCACATTTGAGGGAAGAACCGGACGTTGAGGATAGAGTTGCTCGTAGCTACTGTAGGTCTTTCTAAAGGTTTGCCTTGGAACTTGATTTCTCAGGTGCTCAGGACAACTTTTGAGGAGACATGCTCTCCCTTGACTAGATTCCCGTTCTCGCACGTCTCAAAAAATCACCTGAAACCATGTACCAGGATGCGGGTCAGGGGGGCTGCTTGTTCATGTCAAGACCAGCTTTCCGGGGATCACATCATGGCATCCTCTCGTTCCTGAAACAAAAATAACGCACCACAACACTTACTCTTTTCGAATCCGACTCCGGCGCTGCTCGGCGCGCTTCACGACTCCGAAACCGGGTTTCGGTGCCTTCTCTTTTGGTGCTCTCCCGCGACTGTCACGGGCCGTCACGTGCCCAAAGTCTCCCAGGCGGCGCCAGGATGTGAATCAGGGGGAGGACTTTGAGAATTGGCGCTATGATGTCGCCCTGGAGGCGACCGGTGGAGAGGCGACCGGCGGAGCCACCGGACGCGGTTCTGCTTTTGAGCGGAAAAAGCCACCGGATGCGAGATGCGAGATGCGATGGTCGCGCTTGGTGTTGTGGGGAGCAAGTGATGGGTGGTGAATGGGGACAAGGTGGAACAAGAATCTATGTGGGAGGGGGTTGCACCCCAGTGTGAGGGGTGAGGCTTTCAACGTGAGAGATGCAGCAACCTGTCCAGGGTTGTTCTGGTGTCATCAGACAGGCTCAGAGGGACGCAAGCTCAGAGGGACGGCTCAGCAACCTACATGCCAAGTCCATGTCCGGTCCAATGGAGTCGTCCTGAAAACCTCCAAACCGAGTAGTGTTTTTTTTTTTCACGACTCATCATGACTCCAGTATTTCATGTGGTCCGTTCCTGACCTGTAGCGGTTTCCATGTGGTAAAACTGGACTCTTTCCCACAACAGTTCTTGGAGGCCATCGCTAGTAGGTTGGACTCTTTCCCAACAGTTTCGCCTTTTCCTTGGCACTGAGCCAGTGCTTGGCGCGAGCACCGCACCAAACCGCGGCTGCAGGCGGCCACGGAGGCCTTCGAGGCGATGGCGGGGCGCTATAGGCGCGCGCCACGGACCGATGGAGCGGCGCCGTGGTCGAAACGGACCAGTCGTTTCACTCATCGAATGATTGCGGCATAGTGGATGATGACTTTGAGGTGGGGAAGTTCTGGGTTTGGTGAGAAGCGGAGATGTGAGGGAACTGGTCGTGACCTTCTCAAGAGAGAGCGCTTGGACGCAATGCACAAGAGGACCCAACAGGTCAGGGGGACCAGATTGCCAAGGAGGTGATCTTTTTCTGCGATGGAACGGACCATAGGGTTGTCACCGTTGTCCCCCTTCTTTGCTTTTTGTCTCATCCTTCCAATTTCAGTGCTTCTTGGCTAGATTGACTTGAATAGGATTCCATGAAATCTATTTGTGGGTGGCACTTTTCCGAAGGACCACGTACCAAGACCGGCGTGTCCGACCATTTTTCTTCGTCACCAGATTGACCCGATCATGGGAGTCTCTGAATGCAACATTGCTCCAACCCCCACGTGTTGCTATCAGTCGAAAGCGACTTGAAACTCCCTGCCTTAAGAATCCGGGCCCTCAAATACATAGGGTTTTGAGGGGTCCGGACCCGTGCCGAGTCCGACCCCTACCACGGAGGGCCCAAGGATTCTTCGGGTGGTACATCTCATGTGAGCGAAGCCCAACACCGACTCAGCCAAGTTCATGTTTCTTTCAAAGAGTGTCTACCCGGAGCTTCGGTTGCTTTGCGTTTCCAAGTTCGCTGAAGCGCACTGGTTCACCTTGGTCACCAGGCTTCTTTTCGACGGGTCCTGGAAGAAGCACTTCCCGTCTTGTCCTGCTGGTCACTGCTCGTCTGCCAGGAAAATTTATGCGATCGAAAAGCTCACAGGAGAGGTTTTCAGAACGTGCATCGTGGGGTGTTGGGGGAGGGGGTCCCACTGATGATTTGTTTCAAGGGTGGAAATGGCTGGGCAATGTGCGTGGTGGGTCTTCATGATACATGCCACTTCCGTGGTTCATTGAACCGAACCCCCTTCCGGAATGGAAGAGGTTTTGATGGTCCGGACCCCCTGCCATCGAATTCTTACACAGTGTGGAATCACCCGGACGGTGGGGCCAACTCATCGGTGGCAGTGGTGCAGTGCTGATTGTGAGGGAGCAGTCCTTGCTTCCTCCGTTCGATCCACTGCTTCCGCAGGGGGCCAGGACTGCACGGTGCGTTTTCGCCTGGTGCAGAACTGCCCTGCCGAAGGGGGCAGACTCGCACGTCGCTGACCTACGGACCGTGGACCGTGCCGGTTCGGACCGACCGTGAGCGTCGCCGACCAGGCAACTGTCTTCAGCGGCTGACCTTCGACCAGGCTGAACAGAGTCAGGCCGGGGCCCTGGCGCCGTTTTCTCTCTCTCTCTCTCTCTCGAGTGTCGGGAGGTTCGTCCTGCGTGGATGTGCACGGGGCCGGGTGGTTTGGACTGTGGAAGGTGTGCATGGGCCCAGGGAAGTGAAGCAAAGTCGCTCAGTGTGTCGGTGAGGATTTGATGGGTCAAACGGTCAAACTGAGGGGCTGAGATTCTACTTTCATGTTTGACAGTGAACCACAAACGGGTACAGTACCTCTCCAATCACTTGGGCTGTGGGTCATGTACACGCAGAACGAAAAGGGAACCAGGCTCATTTCCATGCAAGAGCCCCACCCATGTTTTTAAGTCTTTTTTTGGATTTTGTCCATGACCTTGATTCTTGGATTGCTGATTTCTCGGGTTCTTTCCCCGCCTCGTCCTTTCATGAACTGACCGTGCCCACGACTCCGTTGCGCCAGGCCACGGAGGATGGCTTTCAGCGGATCCGCGAGGTCACGGGGCTGACGGATGTGATGGACATCGTCCACAAGCGCCGTGGTGTCGTGTTATGTCGTGTGTACCACCACCGGGTTCGGGTGGTTGATAGACGCCCCCTAAAATACATGCATGTTTTATACACTGTACCCAATAACCACCCGAAATGGGTGGTGCTGGTATTGATTGTTTGTTTTGGGCGGCGGGGGACGGGGGGGCACTGTGGGTAGGCGTGGTCTGGAGACAGAGGGAAGGTTTGGAGGAGGGTGGGATGAAATTTCCGGTGTGTTGCGCTTGCTTTGGATGAGACCCTGGAAGTCAGTTCGACCATTTTAAACGGTGGTTGAAACCTGTTTTTTAGTGTAAAGTCCTTAGTAAAACAAGGGTTGTTGGTCAAAGGCTATTGGATAAATGGGGGTTGGACTTCTAGGGGTACGAGATGTATACGGTCACTTTTTTCAGAGCCCTTCAGCCGGTGGGACCCAAGAAAACGACGAAGCGATCGCAGATGGATGTTCGGCCGAGGTTCTTGAACCGCGATGTGGAGCATGAACAGTCTTTTGGGCCGCAGACAGGATCCGGGTGATCTACAGTAAGCAGTGTTTCCCAAAAGATGGCATCATGATGAGGTTTCTTGTGTTTCTCGTCAGACTTTGTCCACTCGATTGGCAGTGGTTTTCGTGTTTCGACTATTGTGTTTTCTGACAACGCCATTTAACCTTTTTCCCTCACCCATATATGCCTACATTGGGGTGGTTTGGGGGGGTCAGTGTATGCATATATGATATATGGCATACGTGGAGTGTCTGGGTCATGCTTCAAACTTTGGATTCTTCCAAGAAAGTCAAGCCAAGAAAACGCCACTGACCGGACGGAGTACGGAGTGCAGCATCAGAACCAATGACAAGTCCATATAAGAATAGAACCAATAGAAGAATATTGATTTTTGTAGAACCAATAGACAACTTCTATGCCATTTAAACAATTGCTGTTGGTCCACAGTGTTGCTCCACGCGTGTTTTCTCTTTTCAGCGTCCGACTCACCCGTCGTCTTCCACCTCCTCAACACGCCGCGTCTCACACCGCGTGTGTGCTGCGGAGCCAGGTCTCATGGGGTTTTGGGATGTTGGAAGACGGCCCAAGACCTGCACCCGACTGAGACCAGGTCAATTGAGACCGACTTGAAGTCGGGCCTAGGTCCCAGCGAGGTATCGAACTGAGACTACGAAGAGGTACCTTTTCATCCCCAAAGCAAGAAACACAGCCGTTTGATCAGGCTCCGGGTTTCGTTGGAACAGGTCGCATTTGGGTGGGGAGTGCTTTTCCTCTCAGCTCTTTCAGCCTAACTTCAGGTCTTGCCGACCTGTCAGTCAGAGCCATCTTGGCATTTGGCAGCGGCAGGGGTATCTTTTTTCAGCCACCACCCATGCTTCGTTCCAAGCATCCAGGCTCGGCTCAGCTGGGGTGAAACAACCATTCCGATCGGCGCGGCGAGGTGGCGCGCGCGCGCGCGCGCGGACGAATAGACATAATATGACAGAAACGTCCATTCCCACTAGATTGGGTACCTATAGAAGGCGTTTCCTATCTCCTTGGCGGACCGAAACAACCGAACAACCACCTCGACCCACCGCGCGCTTCTGCTGCCGAGGCTCCGCTGCACGGTGCGCGAGTCGGAGGACCATCTGCGGCAGCTCCGAGAGGAGGAGGCGCGGTTCGACGAGCGCAGGCGGTTCGGTTTGGGTGGCGGGAGACGGGAGTGACGGGCACCAGTGGCGGTTGGGCGGTTTGGGTTGGGTTGGGGGGCGAAGCTAACAAGTCTGCGGCTGAATTTAGACTGGGTGAGATTGAAATGAGGTGCTGGCTCTCTAGGATTTGCTCAGGGCATTTGATTGACCAACTGTCAGAAGTGGAGCCATCCAGGAGTTCCTTTGTTCAGGAATCACACGCATAGTTCTTTTGCTTCCTGTAACGAGGATGGACATGCATGCCAACATGTGGGGTGAATCTGGATGCTGCACAGACGCTCGTGAGCCACACTTAGACACAACAAAGTCCCCCCAAATCACCAAGATCCTCACCAAATCCTTCATGTTTGCGGTAAGGATCATCAACTGCAGCTGTATGTTGAAGCCAGTGGGATATATGAAGCCAGTGGGGTACAAGATAAGGCTGGTTGATGGTCACTCATTTTGGCGGTCAACATAGAGGATTTAGACTCCCTGAAACGCTCAACGTGGCCTGCCTGCCATGGCGGCCCCGAGTTTGGATGAACCCTTTTCTTCCCCTACCAACCGGTGGTGCCCTCGATGAGTCCATGATGAGTGTAAGGGGCCCAGGGGATTGACCTGTCTTCAGTCCGATCGAGGACGTGTGCTCTTTCTCGGTTTTGGCACAGCCGCTAGCCTTTGGACACGACTTGGATGAAGAGGCAGTTCAGAACTGCAGAAGTTCGGTTTGATCCAGGTATGTATGAGACACTCGGGTCTTAGAAGCAGTCTGACTCAATGGTTTTTCAAAGGTCATTCGCCATATCTGCAGAAGGTTTCATACTCCCTCTCGCTATATCTACGTCCGAATGATTGTGTACATGCACCAGCCGGTCATTCTGAATCTCAGTTCCTTGTCGACCACGGCTTTTCGCCAATTTGACACATTGACAGGCCGGACGTCCTCGAGAGAATGTGCCCTTGGCTTGGTCGGGGGGGAGGCCTATGGGGTCTCATTTCAGGCGTAATATCAACACCGTGGAAGGAGTATAGAGCATGTGAGCATCCTCCAGCTCTTGTATTCTCTTTATGCGAGGCTTTTAGGTGGTGTCAGGGATATCCTCCAAAATCAACTCTGAGCAGCACAGGAACAATGGAGGCTTCCGGGAGGTTCGAGGTTTGTGAGTTTTCAATCGTATTTTTCATGTCCGATGCAACTATCAATAGCCTTTGTTGTTTATTCATTGAATGTCATTGGTGTTTTAATGAATATGCACATACCTGAAGCTTCAATCGACGTTCAAGCTTTCAGGTATGTACATTTTCATGAAAATATCAGTGCCATTCAATGAATATGTAAATTACAAACATTCTAAATGAGGTTCAGGCAATATCATATCTCATGTGTTTCGAGAGCTGAACCGAGTGAACCGCTTACCACTCGGTCCACCCGAAATCGATCCCCCGCGTCGTTCCCCCTGGCTGGTGGAGCGATGAAAGATCGGAAGGATGAAGCGGAAGTTGAGTCCAGATACCTTCTGAGGAGGTACTTGGAGCCCTAGGGTATAGCATATAGTTTAAGAATCTTCTGTAAAACTTTGCAAATAGGATCATACGATCATATGCCAGCACCACGCAATAGTGGATATTTATGGACACCCTGGCTGTTTCCATCCAATAACCACCCCTGGCTAGTTGCTGCCGGTGTATGATTCTTCAGAAGGTATGACGATGTAGGTGATCACCTATGATCACAGTATGATCATCTATATGTATGATGATGTATTTCTGCTTGGTGTTTTTGCTTGGGTTGTAGCGATGTTGCTTTTAGACAATGCACACGTGTTTTTCTTGACTGCCGAAGAATCTTAGAAGATTCCACAGTTTCAGTCAGTGCTTTAGAGATCTCCGGACGGTCCGACCGATCCGCGGTCTCGGTGTCTCGGCGTTCGAAGCGCACGAGGTGTTCGAAGACGCATCGCCAGGTACTGGTCGATGCAAAGCCGGAGACCAGAGGCCAGAGGATGTTGGGGAAGTTCGTCCCACGGATTTGGGGATGGAAAACAGACACTGAAAGTGTAGTGGGGTCCCTCTTGCCTGTTGCCAACAGGCGGCCCGGTTGACACCTCTGTTGCTTCTGGGATTTCCCAAGCCGGACACTTTCGGAAAGCCAAAGGAGTTGAAAGACATTTGCCTTTGTTTCTTTGCGCGTAAGTATCACATCTTGCTAGCGGTTCATCTTCTCAGCATGAACATCAAGCAGGGGTATATTGTATAACTGGACTGAAGCAGTATATAACTTGAAGGAACAGCAAGCTCGACTTCGGAAAAGGAATATCCATGTGCCCGATGGCCCTTTCCTTTGTGAGCTTTGGGCGGGTGGTACTGGTCGGACTTCACCTCCAGTGCTTTGGGATGATGATTACGACCATGGCCCCACAGGGCCTTCAGCGTGAGAATTGCCGGACTGGTATCTGGTGAGGAACAACTGATACCATCTGTCATTTGGGCACATTTGGGCCAAGATGAGAAACAGGTTGTGTGTGTCTTTTTTTCCATAGCTTGCAAACGACTCAAAGACCTTATGTCTCTTGGCTTCTAATTGAGGTCCACTCACTGACTACTCCTCCCTACATGCAACCATGGATGAAGGATTGATATCCAAACAGTCAGGCTATGTGGTAGAGGAAAAGCATCTTCCCATTCCGAGCGTTGGAAATGGCGAACGCGTTTGGAAAAGCATCTTTCCGTTCCCCGAACCGAATCCGTTCAGCGAACAAAGACAGCGCCAGAAGGCATAGAATCTATGTTTTTCAAGCCAAGAACAGAAAAAAACTATGACTTCAGGAACTGCTGAAGAGGCCTCTTTTTTTTCGAAGCCCCAGAAGCGCCAATATAGCCAAGACTTGAGTCATTGCAGTTCTCGACCCGGCGGAACATCGATGACTTTGATGCCACTTCGTGGCGCCTCCCAGACGGATTCCGCACCCGGCCTGGTTCGGCTGGTTCGGCCGTTGTTCCTTCACCGTCCACGGCCCGGCGCTGCGCGTTTCTCCGGGAACTGACGAAGTGGGGAGACGCTTTGGGTCGAGTCGACGGGGGCCGCCATCGAGCGGCCTCGCGTCGACGTCAGGTTTAGGCGCCGAGGTGGTGGAGTGCGAGCAGCTCTTGGACGACGTCCGACGCGACCACGACGCCGCTCGCTCGGAGGGCCAGTGCCGAATAGCGGGGAGGGGAGAGAACGGCGCCAAGCGAGAGACGACTGGACTGGAGAACGGCTTTTTCTCCTGCCTTTTGGACCATTTTGGTATGGTGAGGGAGACCTCCCAGGCAAGCACCCCCTGCATAAATAGAAAGTAGACCATGCAGTCTACCCATTGCCAGGCGGTCTCCGTCTCCTAAATTACACACCCGTGTGTGTGTGTGTGTGTCCATCCCTGTTTCTAAGGGATCGACAACACTTTCTGAATTTTTAACCATGCAGGGTGGCAGTGGTCTTTTCAGCAGTCACTGCCTAACAAAGACGCTGCTGACTGGATCTGATATTCGGAGAGGACGCTCTGTGAACCTACCTGCGGATTTGAGTTGAGTGATTTAAACAGTACTGTTTAGCCGACGTCCTTACCTTTCTGTTCCTCACAGGGCCGTTTTGCAGATTTTAGCTTTTCAGCTCTCTAGTGTGGTAATGCAATAACTAGAATCTAAAGTCTAAGTGGTCATGCACTCGTTGAGTCGTTTGAGTCTTGCTCTTGTGAGCCATCTATCTGTGTGTGTGGCGCCCATGGGGGGGGCTGAACTCGGGTGAAAGACACACCGGGCACACGATCACCCCGGGTACACGATCGGTGTTAACAAAACATCAGCGAGAGAACACCCGATCGGAGCGTCAGCATGCTGGGAGTTCGCGTTCGCCCTGGGGCATCCGAGGGCTTCGAAACCGCTCAGCGGTTTCGGGCACGGTGTCCTGGTCCGTCCTGGTCCTGAGCTCCAGGCTCCAGGGTTTCTTTCGGGCATCGTCAACTGAGGAGATCCAGGAGCACTTGAAGAAGAGCACGCTCTTGGTGGATAGCCTCACCCGTCCGGAGCCCCCGTCCCGTTTCGTCGATCGGACGTCCGACCGATCCGGACCGATCCGGCTCCCCGGTCTACGAGAGGCGAGGCACAGGACTTCGAACGAAGTCATATTCCAGTGAACAACTCTTTTTTACGATGAGTTCATTCTGACCGACTATGACCGTTGGAGGACATAAGCTGAAATCGGGCCCCCCAAGTTGGACCATGTTAAAGAATAGTCTTGGACTCCCACAACATCCGAAGAAATCATGAACTGACTCTTGGACTCCTTGGAGTTTGACTCCCAGAAGTCATTGGATCATTTGACTCCATGGAAATCATCATTCTTGGACTGTGCGGACTGTGCGGACGGCAGTCAGGGGAGATGTAGTGACATGCTGCTCGCGATGACTGGGTTGCTAGGCGAAGTCAAGATCGACAGATCAGCTGCCAAAAACCCCAAACGGCCCAAGATTCTTCCCCAGGCTGGGCGCAGAAGCTTCGGAAGTCTCTGGCGCCGCAGCCGAGAAGGGGAAGTTGTGGGGGCGGATCCATGAGGCGTGTTGACGGTGGATGCATCAAAGCGCCCCCCCAATGACTCGGAGAGTTTTACCTAGTTTTACTTTCCCAATGGGCAAATCCCCTTCTGGCAGTCTTTTTTCTTTTTTCTCCAGGTTCCTTAAGCACATCCAAGTTTATATGAACAGAAGTAAGACACTTGATGTTCCACCAATTTCTACAGTTTTGGACATCTAACATGACAGATGTATATAGTTGGTGAACATCCGCAACACCATGTACACTGGAAGAGGATTCGGCCAGGCTTTGGATTCGCCGAATCGCTCATCCGCCCCGCAACGCGGGCGGCCGAAAGACCAGCCATAGTTCCGACCGTTGGGGGATGTTTCAACTGACGGGTTTTCCCAGCATTCGTGTAAGTAATGCTTGAACATTTAACACGAACGGATCACTAACATGGAAGTGGATGGCACCCACTGTTTGTAGAGGAAAGTCGTCTTCCTTACGGTCATGCCATCCACGTAACCATGTGATGTGTGAGCTCCAGAGTGTAAGACGAACGGATCACTTTCAGAAAGAAATCACTCACTTTCACTGTCTCACCTTCTTCCAACGGATCTCAGAGCTTCCAGCCAGATCGGAGGATCTCAAAGAAGATGGTTTGACCCAGACATCGCCCGATCTCGGTTGGTTGACTCGTCATGTGTTCCATTTGACCAGTGGACTGGTCAGACGTGCCCGAGCCCTTGGAGCTTGAAATGGAGCCGCCCTTTCTATCAGATATTGGAACTGGTCATAGAAGAACCCATGACTCAAGGAGGACCAAGAACCAGGCTTTAGAGCCCTTTTTTTTTCACCTTCTTTGGTCTATCTGTCTTGGTCCTCCTGGCGCCGGGGCCGTGGACCACCGGCTCCGTGGACCGGAACGGCCGAGGCCCCCATTCGAGAGTTGCCGGCGGCGCACCAGTCGTGGGGGGAGAAAGCAACGGGACATGGGAGGGGGGAGCATCGGACGGAAGCGGGGAGCGGGACATGGGAGGGAGCGGGTCGCTTCACATAGAGGTTTGCTTTGTTTGATTGAAAAAATCAATCAGTTAGGGTTCAAATTCAGTTTGATTTGCTCACTGAAATTAAGTGATCGGCATTGTGACCTCCACCTTCTATCTACTCCAACACACTTCTATACCCTCCATCCGACAAGCATGAAGTGGAACATGGCCCCTTGCAAGTTTGTTTTCCTCCAGCAGCAGGGCGTTTTTGTTGGAGGGAGGGAGCTACATCAATGGGGTCTTCCAATGCTCGAACTGTGCAGCGGTCTTCAAATCTGGGATTGGGTCTACGAAACATCTGTCTATGCCCACACACCACCCAAACTGGATAGCTACAAGCACAGCTACCAGGCATGGGGGCACGCACCGGGGCAACCGGCTCTTAAGGGCTACAGCTGCTCACACGCAGGGTCAATACCTCAAGGGTGGAAAGCCACGGGACATTGGGAAAGGGTGGTGAAGTATGCTGATGCTCCATGGTACAGTATAGGGTCTTTGCGGGCACTGGCCCGCACTACTCTCCCCCCTTTTGCACTGAAGCAGAACTCAAGTAGATCCGTCGAACATGACGCCTTAGGGCCCCCCCTCGGCAGAGGTGTCCAATCTCCCAAAGCCTCTCCAACGCCGAAAACAGTGAGCACGTCGTGCGCTCGCCCCGGCTCGGCGCGCCCCGCGTGGCTGTGAGGTCTGATTTGCCGGGCTTCTTTGGGGAACTCGTCCCTTGGAAGAGACGAGCAGAGAAGGGGATGGGTGAACTCTCTCTGCCCCGCGCCGCAGCTTTGGGTTCCCCCCCTGACTGACCCTTTTTGGAGCCTGAGTGACCTCAGACCAGTCAAGATCTGGGGCTCTAGGTCTATGGTGGTCGAACTCCTCGGGGCGCTGCTGCTTCGGGCCTTTTTGGGTCGCGCTTCTGGCGACTACAGGGGCCAGTCGTAGCCAGGTCCAAACCAGGAACCAAACCAAACCTCGTGTTTTGGTACGAGTATCTCTGGTGGTTCCTGTTGGCAAGACAAGGCAACCGAAGCAAACAGAGTTGCAAAGTGCGGAGAAAAACTTCTAGTATCTTATCTTCTAGTCAAATGAGCTGCAGTTCCCAACCCGCCCGGGAGAAACCGGTGGTTGTGGGTGGATTTTTTTTTGTTCTTTGCCTTTGGGCCTCCTCCGGTGCCTCCGGTGCCGACTGACTTCGCAGGTCCAAGTGGTGCATGAATTCCTGCAGAGTGCGCATGCCGAGATGCCGGATTCCAGGTCCGCTGAAGCTCAAAGCCGCTGCTGGGGTCGGGGGATCGGATCCTTTCCGGTGAGGATGTGAACTGCGGATGGAACCGACGCACTACCTGGACGCAACACTGGGGAATGAAACTCACCCTCAGCTAGACTGCTAGCTTTGAGGAATTTGTTCCTGCCCTTTTGCAAGGATTATCCCTTCTCCGCGTGACGCGGAAGCCGCGTCGTTTCAATACGTTTGGGTTACCCGATGATTAAGAAGTCGTGTTTTCGTGGTTGTGTGTAAAGTGGCGCCACTAAGATTGGGTCTCAAAGCCGGGGCTTTCGGTGTAGAATGCATCCATAAATGTGGATTTATAGATTTATATACAATCAAACAATAGAAACGCGATGAAACGAGAGTAGCAATTCAAAAACACACATAAACACATCAAGACATCACGTATGTTTGCAGGCGCTACGGGTTGAACTTTGGAATCCTGCGGAAAAACACCTGGGCCCGGGAGAGCAGCGCTGCGTGGGTCGATGGGAACGGTTGAGTCGATGGGTGGATCATGAGGGGTTGAGCTCCTGACTTGGAGTGTGAAAGTTTGGTGTATAAGAGATTCCCCCCATCAAGCAACATCAAGCAATATCAACCAATCACCACCCATGAATGGGTGGTGATTGGAACATACATCTTAGTCTTACAGTCAATCGGGGGGATGTCACGGGGGGCGTGTTCTCTAAAACCGCCCCCCCCAAACGGGGCGGAGGGGTTCTTCGCCTCTTCGGTGACCGAAGACCGAAGAGCTCGGGGTGGTCCAGGCTGGTGAAGATGACCAACGAGGCGCAGGGCCGCGTCTTTGCGGCGCAGCAGAAGCTGCTGGGCGACAAGGCGACGATGCGACGGGTGGAGCGAGGGTGGGGACCTGCTGAGTGGGACGTGCTGGGTGGGACTTGCTTGGGGTTGATGATTCGAGTCAACAGTTGTGGGAAGGAGATGGGTAGATGAGACTGGGAGAACTTGAAGGTGGAGTTCAAAACTCCTCCTCTTCCTCCTTCTCAGGCTTGGAGTCTCAGATGTCTGTTGTATCGGGGTGTGAAGCTCAAAGGTTTGGGTGTCCATCATCCCAGTGGCCCAGTAGGGCAAAATCGGTTTCGGTCATCGACTTGTCCTCGACATGAGGTGAACTGGAAGCTTCCCAATGTCGACATATACAGCCATCGCTTCGGAGAGATGTTGAAAGGGATTCTTGCTCCATCTCTTGGCTTGCTTCGCGCCTCAGCCCGCCAACTCGCCGTTGTGCTTAGAACCACTCCTTCAAACCGCTCGGTTTGCACCTTGCCACGTTCGACTCGGACCTGACCGGGTGGTGGGGCACATCGGCACCTGATGGTGGTGAACTCTTGAAGTCAAAGTCACGGACTGAATGACGGGGCACTTCTTCTTCTTCTTCTTCTTCTTCGTGAGTCATTCAGTTCGGGGATGGCAGAAACTCATCTCGCTAGGAGTTCTTGCGCAGCAACTGCCGGGTGACTATGGCGGTCGAGAACATGGCGGTCCGAACCTTCAGAGGAGTCGAAGCGGTTCGAAGGAGGGCGGAGAGAGGAACAGGGCGGCATCCACTCCAGGTTGACAAGGAGAAGATAGTTCGTTGGGGGAAGCAAGGCTTTCAACGTGTTCTTTTTTGATATTTTTGTTCCTTTTGCAGACATCTTCAGAGGTCATTCTACTGAGGCGGGGGGGGTTTCTCTGGGCAGCTCGCTGCCATGGATGCCAGGAGAGTTTTTGGTGGATAGCAATAACAGCCTGGTGCTTTTTTGCCGCAAGCTGATTTGCGATGTGTGCTTCCAATTTTCACTCATGAAACATCCCATGAAACAGGGTCTTTTCCGCTTGGCTTTTGCTGACCACCCTTCGAGAGAAGCATACCTGATCTCTCGAACTCGCCGTCTCATGCGACAGATTCCAACAATTGGGACAGACCTGGGTTTTTGATGGTGCCCGTGGTGTAGGTGCTCCGTTTTGGTGCCGTTCTTCGGGTTCACGGACGCGCCGGATGGTTTCCGAGGGGTCGCCCCATCCCGCGTCTCAAGGTGAAAGACGAGAAGATGCCGGGCACCCCAGTCGATGAGCGGAAACCAACAGCGGATCCAACAGCCGAGTGCGGCTCGTTGGCGTTTTCCTGCTTCGGGAGCCCGTCCGCGGGGGTAGAGAGTTGGGAGGTGTTTGGTTTCAACCATCCGGACCTGCGTCGGTCCGTTGGTCCGAAAAACGCCCTGCGAAGTTCAGATGTGAGGCCAGTCGGCCAGTGGTCCGCAAGGGTTTTAGTTCTTCCAGCAGTTCTGAAGGCATGGTCACGGTCTTTAATCTCTAAGTGAGTGGATGTGACAAGGGGCCTACCCTGGACCTCCGTGCGTTCGGTAGCGGAACTCCTGGCCTTCTTCCTGCTTGTTGTATGTTTTACTCTTCCAGTTCCTCTCAGCGTTAAGTGAGATGCCCTATGGTTTCGTTCAACGCATCTGGATTGCCTGTGTCCCTGTCAGAGTCCCACTTTCTTCGCTGCCGCCCCCACTTGGTGGCGTTCTTTTTGGGGGGGGGGGCCGTGAGAACAGTAGGGGTGATCCCCGACGGGCTGTGAGGAACGCAACCTCTTCTACCAAACCATGGAACATTGATTTCCCTTATTAGAGGAATCTATTCATTGTAGGCCAGGGTGCCAGAATGACCTACAGCCCACAGTGTCCCGAGGGGGGGCATGAGGGTGAGTCTCCAAGTCACAGACTCATGAATCATCATGAAGCCCAGGAGTTCGAAAGGAGTTGCTTGTATTAGACCCATCCAATGGATGTTGAGAAGACCCCCGACTTCCTCGACAGCACCTATCCTCCATGGAGCTGTTGGCCACTTTTTGCTTCGAAATGTAGACTCTTGATGAATAAAACAACCAATATGAAGAGGAGTACGTGCATTCACGTCTGGGGCCTATCCATCAAGAGTCTACATTAGGTTTCCCATCAAATCCCTGTCGAAAGAAGCGAACTGCTTCGTGGACGCCTTGCCGCCTTGCGACCCGTGGCCACCGACGCAGCGCCCGTCGAGACCCCGCGGGGCGACCAAACCACGGATCCAGTGGATCCAGTGGGCGACGATGTACAGCGTCTCAACCATGCAAGTATAGTTTCCAATCTACTTGAAGCAGTTCTTTCATCCCGAAAACCCAATGGCACACCCAAATACTTCCAAAGACACCTGGGCAACATGTGTGGTTAGCACTTTTGAAGTACCAGGAGTCACATGTATGGGGTGGTCTTGGGCATCCCTCGGTCGGTGGATCATGGGCATCCCTAACCTCCATGGATAGCCCCCCTTTTCACTTGGTCACGCTCTCCACGTTTGCTTCGCCCGTCCCACGGGTCGTCCAGCCGGGGTCGCTGGGCCGCGGAGCGAGCCAAGTTGACTCAGTTGACCATCCAAATGGCGGCACCCCTTCCTCCGAAAAAGCGGCGTTTTCCGTGGGTGGGCTCCACTGTGTGCGCTGCAGGAGGAAGATGAGCACTGCACCGGGTGAGGAGCGAGAGATATTTGGGGGGGTGAGCTGGGTGTTGGGGTGGTTTCTGGTGGCCTCTCACCACCCCCAACACCTCGAAAACCTCGAGTTTTTTTTTTTTTTACTTTTTTCAACAAAGCCTCTGGTGGTTATATACGACTATGCAAGTTGGAAGTCTGCGCACCCAAACTGGCTGTTAGAACCTGGGCGGGGTCTTTTCTTGGGGTGTATCGACCGGGCCAGTGGGGCTCAGGACTAGGTCTAACGCGTTGAAAACTAGGCCACCAAGCGGAATCCGTGTGCTATCCGTGTTGAACTCACCTGGTGAAGACGACGCCGAACTCCCCGAGTTCCGCGAACCCCCCCGAATCCTCTTCGACGCCTTCGGGGTCGGACCTGGAGTTGGAGGGACCACACAGGTCGAGCTGTCACGGAGCGTCTGGGCAGTTGGAACATGCCATGTGGTTTTTTTCAAACCAAAAAGTCGCAGATTGTGTTGCTCTGCTACTTTTTCCCCTTTTGGACCGCAGGCCGCAGTCGACTGTCCAAAGCGGGTACGGCTGCGCGAATTTCACCTTGGTATGTTGCCCAATACTTCTTGTTTGCTTCTTGGCATTCTTCTTTGTGCCGCACATGCCGCGCGCTTCACGATGGACGACGAGAAGGAGAAGTCGGACACGTCCCAGCACCCGCATTTGCAATTGCCCTCCTCCGCCAAGGTGAATGGGCAAGTGACGACGGATGGTGCTGGGACATGGAAGAGCGGAGGAAGCGTGTCATACAAGAGAAAGCTCTGGTGGTTGACGGCTGTGTCTGACCACTGGATTCAATTCCAAGAGATGCCTAAGAGTGGAGCTGTGACTCGCCACACCACATTTCTCGGTTGGAACAACTTGGTCAACCGCATGGTGACACGATACTTGTTGGTGACAGATTATGACAAGCAGTGGGATGAGCTCAGAACTGACTGTTTCACATACGAAGAGGAAGGTCCCAAGGGCTACATTGACCCTTTTGTCGAAGTTCAAGAAAAGTTCTGGCTAGAAGCTGAAGAGAGTGGTCTTGAGCAGTGGAAGACACCGAGCATGGTCACCTCCCATGGTACAAAGATGCTTGGCACAATGACCACCGAGACAGGTGGCAAGAATACAGTGAATGCAACCCTTCTGTCGACGAAAGCCGGTCATGAAACCATATACACAGTCCTCTACAGTGATCATGTGGGGTCAGCGATGGAAGACCACGACAAGAAGATATACATGTACAAGGACATGAATTGCAAGACCGTGACAAACTTTTTCGATGTTCCCGAAGTGTGTGTCGACGAGCTCCTTGCTGTGGAATATGGATGTGGGTATGCCGAGCTCCATCACATGCTGTGAGCCAGGCTTTCGTGCAGAAAAAACAGATCGCGGCTTCACATGAATGCTCCACCTTGAAAACCACCATTAAGACCATAAAGGCCTTGGTTTTCCTTCTCAGGTGGTGCAGGGTTCAAGAATATGACTCCTTGACTTCTTGGTTGACATCGTGTTACAATTCGCACTTTGCAGTGTCCCAGTGTCCACGCGATGCCAATGGGTTGTTATTCGTGCTGGACACCTCAACCGTGCCAGGTTAGGGCGTTCGGTGTGGCGTGTTGGAAACCTTCTTCCGGGTCAGCTGCTCGCCGGCGTGTGCACTTAGCGCCGAAGGTGCTGGGATGGGATATATGATATATCATCGTATGTACATTTACTGTGTATAGAAGCAAGGTGCTGGTACATTTACTGTGTATATATATATATATTGTAATGTCCACACATGGTGTCTACCTGTTCCCCAGCAACTTGGGGATGGGTCAGAACCCGAAACACAAGGTATCCTGGCGCCATCCGCGGCCACTTTTCTAACGAAAAAGAACTGTTTTGATCGAACAAGCACGCTGTTGGCTTCAGGACGAGCGGATCGTCATGGAATTCGCCAACGAGCGGGACCGCCTCAAGAAAGAGGCCGAGCGAAGCAATCCTTCCCCCGGTCACTACTGGGTCACCCTTCATGGTGCAACAACTAGGCACTCCTCTATACGCAAAGGGTGGGGTTTGTGAGAACCTCCATGTTTTATAGAGAGTCAACTTTAGATTCACACCCAAAACCACTGGGTGGGACGAAGAGAAATGGTCGAAACCGTTTCGACTACACACGGGTCACGTCTCAAGGTCCATGTTAGTGTGTGAGAGAGTGACTGGTCGCTTTGCACTTTCGAGGGATGGAAGAACTGAAGGTCTTCTTTTTTTCAGGGGTGACGGCCAGTAGCCAAAACGCGCCGAGCGGCCATTCTAGAGGGTGGATGCTTCTCATATTCTCCTTGATTGGTTGGAAAAGAGCTCTATCCGATTCTATCCCATCAAATGCATGAATGGTCGAAGAGCAATCCTATTGGAGTAAGAGGGATGGAAGAGAGGGAATCGATTGAGTCCGTTTGGTGGACCTAAAGATCACCCCTTGCATGGATTGTAGATCAACTCATATCAACTCACCGGCAGGCAGGGACCTCAAGCAGGCTAGTTTACGACTCCCTACAAATGTGCACCAGCTGCTTCCAAGGGGTTACCTGGCTGGACAACCCTACACTGCTTATAGGTCACCAGACTGGACACCCAAACAGAAAGCGCTAGGCAATCGGCACCATTGCCATTTGTGTCGAGCATCGGTCGCTTTCGAAGGTCATGCTTCGCACCGTGCCGGTGACCAGGGGTTTCGCCCCAGAACGGGGCTGGGGCTCGGGCTCCGCCTACCCTAGCTCTCCCAACAATCGAAGTGGATGGCACCCCCTCTTGGTATTCGGAACGTCCGCTTCCATGATGGTTTCAGGGAGAGCTCGGAGAGCTAGCTCTCCTGCGACTATCCAAGAACGACCCGTACGAGTTCATTTTTTACCTGCACGGTCCCTCAACTCTGGCTGGCCACAGGCTGGCCACCCCGCGGAACTGCGGGACTCTCACCTTTTTCATATCTTTCATCCCTATTATTATCTTTCATATATTTTTCCAACCATTCGCCCATCATTCACCCCCTTTGGTGTGTTGCTTTCAACCCCCCAAACAACCGGGGGGGGGGTGAACGTCTGAACCCGCATGGACCGGAGCCACCGCCTCGCCGGTGCGAACAGGCCAGCGACAAGGCGGCGGAGCTCGACGCCAAGACGCCGAAGGCGAAGGCAACGAAGACGCGAAGGGGCGGACGGCGGACTCGCAGTGGTTGAAGAAGCCTATAGACTCCCTAGAAGTCCAAAGACTATATTTTGACTGGCTGGAGTAAAGGAAGTTCCCTTTCAGCTCCCCTAAAGACCATTCTTTTTATAGTCTTTGACTCCCAGGGTATAGATTGATACCTTAAGGGTTGACTATCCTAATTATAGACCATCCTCAACCCTTAAGGTTCTTCAACCACTGCGACCTATAAGTCAGCCTATAGACTATCCTCAACCTTAAGGGTTGAGGTGTCCTTATACCCTTGATAGACTATCCTGACAGGTACCACAGGTACCTCAGGTGACGGGTGCTATTTACGGTCACTGTCCACCTCTCTTGGTGGGGCTTGGATGGCTTGTTCCGGGACGACTTGCGGAACCACACACCGGCGGCGCCGTGTCCGTGGGCGCAGGGCCCGCCGAGTCGGTTTGGGGGTCGACATGACCGAGGGAGATGGAGAGGGCGATGGAGCTTCGGGCGATGAAGACCCAGATGGGGACGACCCAGACAGGTCTTCCTGTGAAATGACATGGCCACCTGGAACCCCAAACAACCAGAAACAAATGGTTGTTCCAATATGGCTTGCTTGAAATCCTTTACATAGGAAATGGTTGGGACTGGGGAGTTCCATCCATTTCTTTCTGGTTGGGACTGGGGTTCCAGGCCAGACATCTTCGGGGTGATCAAGTTGGTGGAAGGATGTTTGTCTTTCGTCCTTCTTGGGCGGAGGTTCGGTGTGACTCGCAGGTTCGGTGCTATGACGATTGGACTCTTTGGGGCTCTATATAGGAGCTAGGTGTTGGAGCAGGGCCGGCTAACCATTCGAAACCAGGTAACTCAGGTAACCATGGTTTTCTTTAGTTGTAAAAAAGGATCGGACAGTGTCCTAGATGAAAGTTTCCTTGGCGGGTGAAGTTGGATGCTTGATCAAATCACCAAGTTGCTAATGGAGGTCAGGATGCGTACCCCCAATCCACTCGTAAACCGTTCGGCCGCCCTGCATGACGCACCAGAGCGCGCGCACCTCGCAGCATCGTCGCGTCATAAGTCGTCTGACCCGCGCGCAAGTTGCACAAACATTCATTGGCTCGCGCCCTCGCTTTCCGTGTGACCGTCGAAAGTCGGCGGGCTGGATCCAAAAGCGGTGCTCGCAAACACGCAGTGAGACGTGTCAGTGCAAAGCCGTGTAGCCACTAGAAGCGTAAAACCTCAGGGCGAAAACCAGCCACACCACAAGTCGCGCATCCCTTTTTATCGTTCACCGAGCACCGCCGCCAAGCACCTCAGCCGACGGCAACTCGCGCAGACGTCCACCGCAGCTTAGCTCGCCGCGACGCCCGTAATGTGATACCACACCTGATTGGCCTCGGACAGTGGCCAGTACCAAATATCAGGTGGATGGTTGCGTTGCGCTTCCCGACATGCAAACAATTCCTAGATTCCAAGCCCTACCCAACAATTACTAGAGCCTCCCCGTGCCATCGCTGGCTATTATATTTCCCTCTCTATCTACAACTACCCCGGGTGGCACACTCGACACCCTCACCTTCTTCACCAACGTTTCCACAGAGGTGCAGTCACAAACTTATCGTCTCGGTTTGCACCACCGTGTAGACCTCCCGCTGGGATTGGCTCGGTTGGCACCGGTGATGTGCTTCTGCAATCCTCTATATATATGGCAGGGTGTTCTTGCATACCTTTCTTGCGTAGCGAGTTCCTGTGGCACGAGCAAACGAACGTATCGCCATGCATCCCAGCATTTTATTGGATCAAGGCAAAACTCTCGATCTGAAAGGCTCGACGCGCATCGCGTCAACGCGAGACGTCGGCGACGCGCGGGGTCGTCACGTCAGGATGGCCAACGGGTATGCCCAGATGACATTGCCACTGGAGCACCTCGCCCGACCCGGGGCTCTCGCGGCCGTGTGCGGGCCTAAGCAGCAACTGCAGGACTTCGCATGTGTAGTTTCTTGTGCGTTGAGGTGTACTCAGGCAGACGTCGCTGGAAGCGGGAGGTTGCTGGGAGCACCGCACCCAGAAACCAAATCCGGGCGCTCACCTCAACAGCTTCGAGCTACGTGGCGTCCTCAGGTTCTGATGCGCCAGCCGGACAGATCGACGCAGCGAAAACGCCGGTGGCGCTGAGGATTTGGCACGGACGAGTGGCGCGCGGTGACGGGCATCACCGACTTCGACGCCCAACGCAAGCGGCGAGGAGGTGAGGCGTGGCCACCTCAGCGGAGTTTTCAGAAACGTCCAAACCATGCAACTAGGGCACGTCGGGGCGCACAAACTGTTGTCGCACCCGAGGCACGCCTACGTCCGGGTCAAGCCTCGCTGGGCGAGCGTCGCGGCGGAGCGGATTGACGTAGGAAAAGGGAACATCATAATGTCAGTGGATGTCAGTGGATATTCCACTATGGTGATTTCAGCTGGGCTGACTTGCCAGGAGGCCCACGAGGAAGTGGACCCGGCGCAAGACCCGGTCACATCCCCGACTAGGCCGCGTGTTGCGACGACGTGGAAAAAGCACGAGCAAAGCATTACTTCCTGTCAACTTGCAGCATGCTGGACGGCAACACGCAGGTGGCGCCGACCGGAGACGCCTCCACCTAGTGACTCCGACGAGGGGGAAGACGGTGCAGAGGCAAGCTGCCTTTGTTGCGCCAACACGAAAGGCGTCGCCCGGAAGCGTCTCAACGCGTCAGGCGACGCGGCCGGAGCCGAACCTCGCGTGGTACTTACATACCCTGCAGGAGGCTGGAACGAAACATGTAATTCTGTGTTGAAGACACTGAAACACGGCGATGGCGCAGGCGCCTACCCGCCAGCTCAAGGAGTTCTGGCTGGAAGAGTTGGGATTTGAATGTTGCCTCCTCATTTGCTTGTTTCGAAAGTTCGAAGCGTTGTAGCAGTGACTGTGCGATTCCGGTGCGTGTTTCCGCGCGCGTGCCAAGGCTTCGAATGCCCCATCCGCCACCGGACGTGGTGGTACCTCAGTGATCGTGTATGGTTTTGGTCGTCGGCCCTGTGAACGGCAGCGCCGCGACCAGCCTTTGTTTCGTTTCACCGCCAAACCGGCGCTGGGGAAGGTCTCAAAATACTTCTGCCACTCAAGGTAGAAGCAACATAGAACCTACGCGTCAAGGCAGAAGAATGATGGTTGGAACTGCAATTGTCACGAAGAAATGAGAGATCTCCCCCTTTGGAGCGCCAACCTAAGACTTATCCACAGACACTGGGTTGGCTTTCCTCGCCGGTAGCGAAGAACATGCATATCCAAGCCAAAAAAGTGTTGCGTTTCCACTCATTTGCGAGGGCCTTGCCAATTGAGCTTGCCTCTAAGCGTCATTGTATCGTATCTCTGGATCGGCCCGTGTCGTGTATGGCCCAATGGAAGATAAATGCTGCTAGACACTTTTTTTTTGTTTGCGTAGCTCCTTCCATCTCTTTGCATTGTCTTGCGGATGTCAACTTGGTTGTGGGTTACAAAATGGAGGACCCACACCTGCAGCACCAACTCCAAGGTCCCGGACAAATCTGCAGATTTTTGATTCCCCAAATTGTTCAACTATTTTGGGCTTTTTCTTCTTCCTCCTTCGGCTCTTTCACCTCTGCTTCACTGCTCCTCGGACTTCGGCGTATTTACTTTCTATATTTTGGAACCTCTTTCTATATGTTAGCTCATCTCCACTACTTTACCTTTCAATGTATTGCCCCGAACCATGGATTATATATCAAAGCCAGTATGATCGAGCGCATCAGATTCAACGCCTTGTTTGTGATCGGTAAATGTCGCTGAAGGATACCGTCGTCGTGTCGTGTATCGGAACTGGTGGAAAATACGAATCGAGCTGCTCAAGCCGAGCTCATAGATTGTCATTATTTACGCCCTCGTTTCTGCTCCGATGACGGTCAAAGCTCTCGAGGTGGTCTTCGCAGCCGGCGTGCTCTACTGGGACTTGCCGTGCCTGGCGCGCTTGGGCCGAACGTGCGCCAACTACAGCGTCCTGCTCCTGGAGGCGGTCCTTGCAGCATATGAAGACAAGGACGACAATCTGCATTTTCCTCGATTTGTGGCGCCCTGGGAACGGCGTCCGGCGGTGCGTTTCGCTCTTACTGTCAGCGCCCTGTGGTTGGATAGCAGCGCGCAGCTGCGTCGCTGGAAGGGACTTTGGATGCTTCGCGATAACGCCTTCGCAGCCAAGCTCATCTTCTTCGAGGCGCGGGATCAACGTCAGTGGCGTCCAGATTGGTGTGCCTTTGCGGTGGAATCGGGGCTGGTCGGATGGGAGCAGGATCGTGCTGAGCTTCTACACCTGTTGGACTCGTCCGCGAATCAACATGAGGGCGCGCGGCTGCGCTACTTGCTGGCCCTCTTGGAAAAGGGAAAGTGGTGCTTTTGGGTCGCCCCCAATCGCAACCATGTGCTGTGAACGGCTTCTACCTGGAGTTCGCTCTTCGCGGCGTGTGCGGTTGCATTGAGTTCTACTGTCTCGACGATGACGACTGGGATGGAGACGTGAGTAGCGCTAGTGACAGCTTTTGATCCAGTTTTAAAGCGCCCGGCGTTTTGATTACCAGATCACGTCTACCCCAGTAGGTCCATGGTCATCACATCCCGCCTTGGTCTTGTTGAAGGAATTGAGCCACCTTCAGCTTCCGCCTCCGGTTCCCATCCCAATCCGGGATGTTTGAGAAGACGTCTTCCCAAACCCACACGTCCCAACACGTCTTCCCCCCCAAAACCATGACGTCGCTTCGTCGCTTCGACACTTCGGTCCGGACGCGCCAGGTCCCGGCGGTCCGGCGGCGTTGAGCCGGTTCTCGAGTCGGTGGAAGATCCGAAGCGACCCGGTCGAGGTCGTAGCGAGCGACGTGTCGTGGCTTCGGCCCGGAGCGACGTTCGTGCTACGCCGCGTCCGAAGAAGAACGCTCCTAGTAGTAATGGTTTTTGCATGTTTTTGCTACGTTCGTAGCTTCTTAGTTACTGGTAGGAATGGCCTCCAACCTAATGCAGACTTTTGATTAATAGACCATCCCATTTGGATTAAAAGTCCTCTTCATGTGGGGGTATTACTAATCAAGAGTCTACATTACTTGCGATGGCCTCCACCTAATAGCGTCCTTGCTATTAGTAGCTATTCACCAGATGGTGGGATATAGCTTCGTCCTCCCCGTGTTTTGTTTTTTGGAAGACATCCAAACACCAATAAAACTCCGTAAATATCTGTGATCACTGGTCCCCAAGGGTGCAGGGCCTCTTCGACCGAACAGTACTCGCCGATCCACGTGCCATGTCATCCTGCCTCCTTCCATCAAGCTGAAGAAGTCCAAAGGAAGAAGTCCACAAAAAGAAGAAGACAAAATAGTTTTGGAACATGGTTCTCATATCAGACATCTACGTGTGGTGCCGGGGTCTGTCCTAGTACCTGTAGAGCCGTCGGTACAGTAAATAAACAATATCATCACTGTACTTTAGAGATGTCGGCCTGGAAGCTAACCATCATCCACTGTTATATACCCAAGTGGGTACTATCAAGCCGATGGGTCTAACACTGTCGAGAGTCCCGAAAACTCAGTCAAGTTCATTATTTGGAAGGGACCTTCCACCCCAAATCAACTCCGCAGGGCAGAAGAACTCCGCCCTTTTTCCGCGGAAGCCAAAAGAGCGGAACTGCCTTCCGCAGCCGACGACGGGCTCCAACGGTCGAGTCTGATGGGTTTCACCTCGATCTGCACTGAGCGGGTTCCGCGCCATGAAAAAGGGGTTCCCAGCAGAGCACAGCCACGGAGACCGGTGCCATTTCGGGAGAGAAGGGGGGAGTGTGCCATGGGAGACCTGATGAACTCCCCCCATTTAGGAGTTCCAAATTATGAGAATTGGGTAGGGTTGACCCGGTGAAGATAAGGGTGACTTTTTTAAAACAAAGATCCCTTTGCTTGTTCTAAGTTGTCAAAGTGTTCATGTCACGATCAACTCCTGCATGTCCGAGGTGCAACAGCGAATGACTCGTGGAAGTCGCAATCTTTGGACCTAAGAATCCGAGCCCGAACCAACACATGGTCTTTAGTGTTTGGTTCAGGTCCGGACCCCGAAGAGGTCGGGCCCGTTCGGATTGTGGTAGAGAGAAAAAGGGGCTCCAATTCCAATCGCTCCTCTCCCAATCGCTCCTTTTGGGTTCTTGAGCGAAACGGTTCAGAGGTCCTAGAAACACACCCGTTCACGCTCCGGGTTGTCTCGCGCTCGGCGGGCTCGGCTCTGAAGCGCGAAGAGTGTGCGTCATTTGGCATAATCTTGAACCCTGACTGAAACATGTTGTGTACAGTAACTGTACCGACACAAATACCGACGTCGATCAACTGTTTCGCAATGGCTGACGTGTTGTGTGTGAAAGGCCGGGCACAATGATCCGAATCGTTTCATGAGAGTTCCTTTGACTTAAAGCTGTCCGTCTCAACTGGGTGTCAAGTGTGTTTTTGCTTGAGCTATTTCCTGATGACTCAGACGCAGATGAGTTCTAGACCTCAGAGGCTACCCGCTGGTTACCTGCCCCGCTGAGCGAGCAACGCAGGCCCTGGGCTCGGCAATTGGGCTGAAACGCCGGAGGAAGTGGAATTGGAGCAGATCTTCCAGAAGAAAGGCGCGAGTGGCGCGAGTTTTCCGTGGGGATTTCAACGGTTTTCGGTGCGGCCGGGCCGTTCCGTTGGTGGGTTCGGTGATGTCAATGGGTTCATTTGGATCTTCATCATTTTTATCTCGCATCAAAAGCTTGTCATGGTTTAACTTTTCTGACCATGGCCATCCGGCCGATGCGAAGATGTGAGACATTTTTTGTTACTTCTTTTTGGTAAAAGGGGGAGTGTCTCTTGGAAAGTATCGCAAGGACAGGTGTCTTGAGGGTTTTTCTGTTTTAGATTCTGCTTCATTCACTTCCTAACTGGCAGCTCCCTGGTGAAACCATTGTAGCCATGCCAGCCATGCCGAGATTTTTCAGCCCGCTGGGTCCAGGCAAGCTATTATATAATTGCAATATAAATATAAATAGTTAATATACACTTTTTTCTGCACAACGCTTGCTCTACGGCCAACATAAATAGATGACTTCCTGTTTTGGTTGCACACTTGAAGACCCTAGATCAGAGCCTTTCAGCAAAGAATTTTTGGCCGTTTACAATACATCAGACAAAAGCACATGCACACAATCAATCGCAGCAGAAAAGCTCCCTCTTCCAGTCACCATCTTGGCTTCCCCCCCCCCCTGTGCGCATGCATGCATGCATGCATGCATGCATGCATGCATGCAAGCACCTCTGTGCTGTACTCTATGCATGCATCGTCACAGCTGCAGGGAAGATGGGGATGTCGAAAGACGAGCGCAAATCGTACTATGGCGCCAAATTTGCACGAGCTGCAGCCATCAGGCGCGGATGTGGGAGCTGGGGGGCGGCCCGCGGAGCGGCCCATGGCGCCGCGGAGCGTCATCCACATCACCGAGATGTGGATTGGTAGGGCCTGGTAGGGTCACTGGTAGGGGTGGGAGTAAGATGGATTAAGCCCTCCAACACCCACTGACATCCGAAACACCAAACTGTTGTTTCTGTGTTCAGCTGGAACCTGAGGGAAATCGGCACCTGAGGGCTGGAGGAACCCCTCTTGGATTGTGTGGATTCTGACTTGGGTTTTGACACCTCTCAAACAATGTAACAAGAAACAGGTACTAGTAGACAATATCCATATCATCGAATCATTTAATGTAGTTATTCTTGTTTGTACCCGAGTTCTCCTACTGGGGCTGTGTATGCCGTAATCTTTTGCTCCACGAGCAAAACCAAAACGATCATAAACAGTACAATGGTTCCCACCAATAAAAATAGGGGAGTACCTCGTACTTCAAGTGAAGGCGTGGAATCAGCTGAAAAATGGGCCGGGCAACTCTGTTTTCTGTGATTTCGACCCACCCTCCTGTCCTACAGCGGGTTTCGCTTCTGACTTCAAGATCGAACCCTTCTGACTTCGGGGCCCAAGAACCACCCAAGAAGTGAATTTGACGAAGTGGCGAATCCCAGAGATGGAATGATTTGGGATGGGGCCCCGTTTTCTGAAGCAATCGGGGCATGGCCCCCGATTTCGGACGGCTCTGTCTTCCTCATACCGTTTTTTTTCACTCCACACGTCGCCATGATTTGTTGCACGGGTTTTGTCTACTCTGGACAATTCGTGAACTGATGATTCGAACACACAAAAACCACAGGCAGGACAATCAAACAGATTCACCAGAGGTTCCACGCATCAATGAAACTCACGGGGGTGACTCGCCCTCGGATGACTTGGGATCACATGAGATTCAGTGGACGACCATTGATTCCAAATGAGTGGAAAGTGGGTTCCATGGTGAGGAAGTATTTCGGGATATGGTCGAAAAATGTCGAAAACAGAGCAACCTCCCGACATAAGGCATCGATCCCAGATCATTTGTCACATTGACAGATGCAGCACTGCAGATGTTATCCCCTAACATTTGTGAGTCACAAGCTTCATGGACTCTTCACCGCTTTTCGCTCCACTGATGGTGTCATCCATCACCGATGCTGTATTCCACTTGGTGCTTCTGTTCATTATTTTTTTCCGGATGGTTAAGCCGTCACGCTCGCGGTTTCAGACCTCTGAGAGCCATGGAAAAAAATGGATGGTTAAGCCGTGAAGAAACCGTTGTTGGTGCACTCCTCATGATGCTTCTGAGACTCCTCTCGCTCCGCAGACCAGGCTCGTGGCCATGTACGTCGCTTGGAGCACAACGAAGCTCCGCCGACTTCGTTCGGGCTTCGGAGGCCGTCGACCCGGGGGGTTCGGAGGTGGAAGGCGGTGGGTGGGGTCGAACGAAACGGAGCACATCGATGGGTCTGTGCGCTTGGCCCCGAATGGTAATTGGGGGGGGATCGCGGCGAAGGAAGGATGCAGAGATACTTGGACCTCCAAGTGTGCTGTGCTGTGCTTTCCGTCTGTTTGGGGGGTCTTCCTTTCGAAAACGTTCCAAGAGGCCGACTGCGAAGGACTGGAGATGATGAGAGGTTTCTCTCCACCAGGTTCCACTACCTCAACCCTGCTTTGGGATAAGTGGATCCTGAGCTCGACCGGTCTTTCGATACCGGTCGCACACGGATCCACCCGCCTCGATGCGGTCCGCCCCAGATGCAAACAGAGTTCAACGGGTGTGAAATCCAGAAGAGCGCCCTCTTAGCAAAAGGGCGCGCGAAAACCCTTCGCTACCCTCTGGAAAAACCCGGATCCACCCGCTTTTTCAAGGTTTTTTTTGGAGCACCACGACAGGTTTTTTAGAGGCGGCATTCCACGTAGGTTCAGTCCTCTGTCCTCCACCTTTCACCCACTTCTCGCTTGGGCTTTTCATGCTTTTCCACGAAAGGGGTGCCTGTTGGGACCACCAAAGGAGTAGCAGTCGCGCAGCTCAGGAACGTGCCTGGGATGAATGCATCCGTCGCGAACTCGCGGCGTCAGAGGCTGCGCAGGCGAAGCCCGGACACGGTGTCCGCGCGCTCCGAGCCCGGTCGCGCCGATGGAGCGGTGGTGTCCGGTCCACCGATGGTGCTTTTTCGGTGCGCAACGGTAGTGCCTCTTGGTGAAAGAGCGATGTGTATCTGAACACACACACACACCAAAAAAGACATCCAAATTCAATTGAAGCACTAAGAACATCCCTGCTTTTTAGTATCTAGATTTAATTGTTGCTTCTATTGTATAGATATACAGCCAAATAACCGTAGAAGCTGAATCCCTTCTTGCTCGGAGCTGCATTTGCCAACTGATAACTTGTCGAACCGACTCACCGACGGGGCGCGAATTGCCTGATGGAAGTCTGTCGAACAGCCTGCCGGGCTGTAGTCTCTGAGACTTCATCCAGCTACGTAGAGTCAGCTGCTTTCAACAAAGGGGCATCCTTCAAGCATCTCAAATACCAAACTCCAGTTTGGAACTTGCCCCAGGGGCACTACTAGTAGCGTCGGACGCTACTAGTAACAAAGGGCCTTACTACTAGTAACAAAGGGCCTTACTACTAGGAGCAAATCACTACGAACACGATCCGTCTTCAACTCCGGTCTCCGGGCTCCGGTCGAAACAGGCGCTGAGCCTAGCCGCTTCGGCCTCCGCCACGTCGACCATGTCTCCGCGCTCCCTGTCGACAACGCCGCAGAGTGCCAAGAGCAGCACCTGGGGAGGAGCGACGCCGGGGACGAGCTGAAGCTCGGGAGAGATGGAGGTTGGCTGGGTGCATCGTCCCCAAGGAGTCAGAACTGGAGAGTTAGAAACGATTTCAAACTGTTTCGAGGGCTTGAGGTCACGTTCCGCTCCTAATTTGAGGTCATGACATAATGACAGATGGATGACATGAGGAACGATCGGCACAGGTGGAGTCGAACCCATGGGGGTTAGGGGGACCCTGTTTTCTTCGTTGTTCTTCCCACGGAAGAAGAGAAGGTCCGACCAGGGAGGTGCCTTCCCAGGGATGAGGGGTCCAGGCGCCTGGACTTCGGCCGCCGTGGGAAAGTCGATCGGTCCGAACCCCGGCCCTTTGGGCGTTTGGAACGTCTGGACCTTTCGGCGTTTGAGTGGAGAAGGTCCGACTCCCCATGGAGGGCCCGTTCGGATTCCTAGGCTAAAGCCGGTAAAGCTCAATCAAGAGAAATCAGGATAGCTGCTCAGCCTTTTGTTGGTGGATGGCACTCACTGTTTGTCAAGGAAAGGAAGACGTCTTCCAAGGGATCATCCACTTCATGCCATCCACTTCATGCCATTTTTTTGTGTTTGTCAGAGGGGAGATACAATAGGGGAACATCTCAAACACTTACACCAGGCCCTATTTGGGGTCACTATTGATTGACCCGAAAGAAGGTGATTCAGGGATATTAAGGGTATGTTTATGGACATCACCCCAACGCCCCCTTGGAAGGCTTGGGAAATAGACCACAGCCCATTTTGCCAGGGGGTCTCCTTATTGATATATACACATACACACCCTAACTAGCCAACGCACTCCTTTCAGGGATGTGAAAGTTTCTGTTTACAGAGTCATTGGTGCATATGTTTTTGGTGCACAAGAGTGGGGAATGAGCACATGGGCTGGTTCTTTTTTTTTTGCAAGACGATGCCATAGGCACACATGCGTTGGATTAGGGGGGGGTTGTTTTGGATTGGGTTATGACATGTTATGACGTTCTTTTCGCACTTCAGAGGGGGAACCTTTCGAACCATGGCGACGTGGATGGCACATGATGGCTGGCACCACCTGGTACTGACGAAACAGGTAGGGACCATCCACCGCGGCCAACCGGCCGCGATGATCTCAGGGAGTGTAGTGGTGACATGGTCAATCGACAAGGTTGCTGGGTGATTGGGCCGAAAAGAACGGAACGTTCTTTGGAGGTTTTGTGGTGTCTGTCCCCTCGAAGACCTGAGAGGAGATATGGTTTGGAGACAAATCGGCACATGAGAAGCTGCACGTGGTTGTGTTGCAAGTGGGGATTTCTCTTCGGTTTTGTTGTGAGCACCGAACAAATTGGCCCTCTGTACCGAAGGAGGGTTCTTGCTGACCATTTTGCCTATGTGGTATTAACATGTATTTAAATAGGGAGACCTCCCAAAGACCAAGGAAACATCTTCCAACTACCCATTGATGGGGGATCTCCAACCCCTTGGAACCGTGAGACGTTGGACGAATAGGTCGTCCCGTTGGCACCCTCAAATCCAACCACAACCACGACCTCAGGCACCCCTCGACCGACCTCTGTTGGCTAGGAGACTTGTATGAATTGAAAGTTCACTTCGAGACCTCGTTTGGCCTGGCACCCGGTAGTCGAGTCATTCGGCCTCTTTTTCGGGTTGTTTGAGCCCGTCCGCAGTTTTAGTCGCCTCCTTCGTTGGGTTTTGGGACACTCGCGAACTTGGGCAAGAGGGAAGTCACCGTTTCAGCCAAATCATACACATGTCACTAGCAGAGGTGAGCGGGGATTGTTTTCCCATCTGCCCTGTGGAACTGGGAAGCAAACAATACTCTATTTTAATCAAAACCATTGGGTAAAGACCTGCAGAAAGATCCTCAGACCTGATTCAGACTCAATGAAGACCCGGTGTTCTAATCGAATTCAAGTCAACCAGTCTGGTGGATGATCAATTCTCCATCAGCGGTTCCTGTGGACCCTGTGATCGTCGAGAAAGACGATCCGTTGCCGAAGTGAAGGACACTTTTGACATCAGGTATCCTTTCAAACCATGTTTTTAAACATACTTAGTTGATTTACATCAGGTACCCTTTGATACCCTTTGAGGTACCATCAGGTACTCTCAAGGCGTATACTTAGTCGATTCTTGTTGAGTTTGCCATCCCAACCAGCTAGACGGCGACGCGCGTCTCCGGAGACGCCCTTTGGTACAGCTCGAGCGCCGTCTCGAAGGCATCGGCATCGTCCTAGAAGCTGAGTGACCCCTATTGTGGATCACCCACCACCCCAAAAATAGGATCTTTTCCTAATAGGAAAGAGGGGTCAAGTTGGGGTTACTTCGGTTTTTGTAACAATCCTCGGACGTTCCGACGTCAGACCCGACTTCTTCCCAGTTCGGGTCGACCCTTCGAACCCATCGATGTAGACTCTTGATTTATACACTCCCTCCTTGATGTAGACTCTTGATTGTACAACACCCCAGTATTTGGACTGTAGAGTTCTTCACATTGGTAGTTCACATACAATCACGAGTCTATCTTTTGTATTTCACTCCAGATGGTCCAGATCCTGACGAGAGAAGATCCTTCCCTCACCCCAACAATCACAGCAGAGTCAGGTCGTGTCAGGTTTCTCGTCATGGACATCACGTCGTGGACATGGCTGCTGCTCTCTGTTGGCTGTTGCGGTGGTTCGTCATGGCAGACCGCTGCCGCTGGGCGCCGCTCAGGTCAAGAGTTGTACTTGGTCGGCTCAGTCGATGAACTGGGCCTCTGGGATTGCCGACGTGCCGCACGGGTGCCCGGTTTGAGACTCGTGCCCGCGAGGACGAGGACGAGTCAATGACTCATGCTTAACACTCACTACGCCTGGCTGGCCTGGTAGTGGAGGTCGTGAAAAACATGAGGACTTCCAGGTGGGTTATATGGATATGGACGTGTATTCAAATAGGCAGACCTCGTCTCGGCAACGACCCCGCCTGGAAGGTTTGGGAAATAGACCAGTCTGTCCTCCAGCTGGTGGGGTCGGGAGTCTTTCTATTGAATTGCACACCCACTTCATGAGTCACGAAAGGAGTCACGAAAGGAAGTTCTGTGGATCTTCTTACTCCAAGACCTCATGGTTTTTGCATCACATCGAATGAAGGGAATCAACGGAGGGAAGTCACTCAAAGGTCTTAGGACTGTTCGGGATCGAAGAGCCTTTAACTGTCAGAGCTTCGTTTCTTCAAAGTCCATGGAGTCGACTATTGCACTCGTACCGCAGAACATGGGGGGAGCACCAGTCGGACCTATACTGTCCCATGTTCGGGTCATGTCCCAATTTTCGACCATTAGGTACTGTACCTTCCCTACTGTACCTTCTGAAAGGCCGCAGTCCGCTGTGTTTCTTCATCTTCTCAGACTCGATTTGAGGTGCACATGGCCTGGACCGCGGGAAATGTCTGGACCGCCAAGGCCGGTGACCGATCACGAGCGGAAACGACTGCCGTGAACGGAGCCGAAACGGTGTTCCTCTCGCACCAAACGTGGATGGAAGAGTCCTGGAGCCGAAACGTCCACCGTCAACGTCAACCGGTCGGTCTCCTGGTTTTGAACCTGTTTTACACCCTAGCTAGCACGCCGCATCATGTCGACCGTGAACTTGAATGAACTTCTTGAACTAATGTGTAGAACTTGAACTTCATGTCAAGGTCTGTGTAGGTCAGACCTTCGGTCCGGTCGAAGGGGTCGATTGATGTCAGATGGCCCGGTCCAAAGGCCAAAACGGTCAAGCGGCCAATCCATCATCTGGAACCCAGTTTGGGTGGACGAGGACACTCCACATCAACACAGGCCACGGAGGAGGAGGAAACCCTCCGCCATCGGAGGGATGCGGAGTTGTGGAGTTTGGTCCAGTGAACTTCACGGCACCCTTTTGGAGTTGTTGGGCGAATGTGAGACTTGTGAGACTTGGTATCTCTCCACTGGGTACGGCAGTGGTTGGACCCATGGGGAGCTTTCCACTTCGAAGATCTTCGAAGGGTATACCTCCTCCCTTCAACAATCATGGCTACGTGAACATAAGCACCTGTCTGTGGGCTTGGCCGGGCTCAGTGATGCCGCGATAGCTGCTCCAAAAGCGAAGCACGTAGGTTCCCACCACCATGAGATTGTTGGGAAGGTACACTTTCGAAGGAACCACATGCAGCTCTTTTTTTCACTTTTAGCGTCCAAAAAGAACACCCTGGCCCTGACCAGTGAGCTTCGAGAATGATATACCGGAGGTTGGTTGGAGGGAGCATTGCTTCTCCTTAAAGACCTGTTAATGACGTTGAAGAGCTAACTTGAGCCTTTTCGCCATCAAAGCTGGGCTTCAATGCGTCCTGGATGGTGCATCATGTGTCTCCGCATTTTGCATCCCGCCTGAGACTTGACGAAGGCCACCCAAACAGGGGATATATGAATATATACTGTATATATATATATTGTTACATATACAAACGATACTGTATATATATATTTATCATATCCGTTTGCTGCATCAGGTAGTTCACTTTGTCTGAACAATTCTATTTTTACCGGACCTTTGTCTAAAACAACATGACACGCCCTGACCGCAACCGGCCTGTGCAGGTCAGTATTCCGGCCGACCGAAATGCCACCGAGCTGCATCCGATCGTGAAGGGGGATTCCATGGAACCTGGTGACAGGTGATTTCGCACTGGTTCACCCAATATCATTAGGGTCACTGATATTGGTGAACAGTGAATATTGAACTGGCTAATATAGGTGAATATATTCACCTGGTTCAATTAACCTGGTTCATTCACTGAGTTTGGCTCAATATCTTCACCGCTACAGCACATGTGTTCGTTTCTTTGTGGGGGGCGTCCTTTGGGTGTTTGAGGTGGAGTTGCGAGAGGTGAGAAAAAACACGATACCATCTGACTGGTGCGACTCGCAGGGAATGAGGGTGGCTGGATCCAATAGAATCTCTATTAAGGGCTCATTCCCTTATTCCCTACGAGTCGCACCAGTCAGCCATTGTGAGACACATCTCCTCTTCAAAGATGTACACAGAATGCTACGTTCGTAGCCTAGAAGGCTACGTTCGTAGCCTTCTGCCCTTGTTACTAGTAGCTTTGTTTCTTGTGTGCGTTTTCACTCCCAGATTTCTCAGTTTGTGCTGGGCCTCAGCTATGTCGAGCGAGACTGGGTAGAAAGACAGCTGGGTCATCGTCGACCGCATCATGCCTATTTTCTTCCAAAGCAATAGAGTGTGGTCGTTGCATATCACTCACGCCCAGTTGTTCTTGGAGCGTTTTAAGCTTTCATCACAACCATTTGCATCACCCAATAATCACCGTCTAATTCAGACCACATAGACAGAAAAGGGCCCGTCAGCGGATTAGGCAGCAAGTAAGCACTGGGGTTGGGCCACCCTACTTGCCTCGCTTTATATATCCGGATTACTGGGACCTCCATATGAGCTAAAGGATCAGGGTGGAAATCCCTACATAACCCAGCACCACAGGAGGTATGCTATACCTCAGAAAGGATGGTTTTTCGTTTTATGGTGTCTATCATGTTTTCGACTCCCTTTCTGAATCCTGAGATTTCGTCCGGGCTGTCCAAACTGCTGCGGGCTGGAGCATGCCCCAAGGTTGTTGAATACAAGTATTTGATCGGGCAGCATGCAGCTTGGAAGCGACTCAGTGACCCAACGGCATGATGCCGTTGACCGTTCCTCAAGCACTCTCCTTAAGCTTCTTGGACAAGCTCTTGCACTACTTATATAAATAAGCCAGCACATGCGGGTTCATGATGCCCGGATTGAGAGACTGACACAATCATAATTTGACCATGGCTGTGGGTGAACACTAAATGCTTATTCAACACCCTCCAATCGGTGTCGCTCGGTGCGCCTGTTTGGGTTTTCACACCCAGTTCTCGAAGCAGTTCTCACTCGGGCGGTGAGCTCCACCGAAGAACCGATTCGGGACGGCGGAACCCGGGGGCGTCGGGTTGGGAGGGTGACCACGGCAGAGGTGCCATTTCCTGGCGGATTTCATGGCTTTGACGGAAGCAACTCTTGTTTTACTAAGGATATCACCTGATTTCACCACATAACCGTAACAAAACCAGGTTTGTCCGTGAACTTTGCTCCTCAGTCGGGTGAAAGGAGATTTGGAAGCTATATTATATACGCTCTCACTCAAAACGCAGTGGAGACATACATGTAAAGACAGAGTAAATAATATATATATATATATTATTATATAATCTCAACACGTATGAAATATACACACTCTGACTCAAAAGCCTTAGTGCACATGTTGGTGGAGATGAGGTCAATCGTCAATGTGGAAATACCCTCCCTGAAACACTCATGGAAGTGGAACATGGCCTTTGCGGTTCCCAAGAGCTTGATTGTCTCTCTCTTTTCTTGTAGGACTTTCATCTCAATGTCTCGATTTCTCTGTCTTTCGTTTTCTCTTTTTTAAGAACCTTTTCTTTTTTATACTTTTCCTTTCTTCTTTTTCCTTCTCTCCCTTTCTCTCGATTCGGAACTCGTTCTCCGCAATCGGATCGCTCCGAAACCGATGGGGCAGTTCTGTGCTCAGCAGAAGAACTCTTTCTGAAGAACGACGGTCGAAGCAGCACGAAGCAGCACTGCTTGCTACCCGGAAAAAAAACCATCTTTTTCCTTTCTCGTGGGGTCGAAGTGATGTCTTTAAACCAGTGCCGCGGATGTTTCACCACTTCTAACTCTCAGTTTTGATTATTGATCAAGGTTTGGATTTTTGGAGGGGTCTTTGTTTTGTTTAGCCAACAGTCTATAGGTTGCTTTTTTCTTCGACCTTGATGTGTCCCGTATGTTTCAACGGTAAAAAGATGATCACTATTTTGGTGAAGGGCCTTTGCCCTGTTACTGGTAATAGGATATACCGATATGCCCAAACTTTGGGTGATGTCTGGCCGGACCAGGTTTTACTTTGTCCGCCGGCACGGGTCATAAACCCCACGTTTTTCTTGTGGCCGCACACCGAACCCCCTTTTGAATTCCAGAATTCCTAACGAATCCCTTCACTTGCCGAACAACTCTGGGCATGTTTGGATCCTAACAACCCCTGTATCTCCAGCCATCCACGCCTCCCATGACACGCAACTCAGGGACAGTTTCAGCGGCTCGGCGTGAACATGTCTGCTGTGGCAGCGGTGGAGGGTTGGAGAGTCGCAGATTCGAACCCTCCACGCAGCGTCTTTTTCGCCTGTTCCAGCATGTTCCTCTCGGCCGTGCGGCTCCGTTTGATTTCCCGGGTCCATTTGGCGAAGGGAAAGACACCACAGGGCTTTTGTGAGTATTCACTTTTGAGGCATTGAGGATGCCAGGGGGGCAAAGCTAAGTGCTATATTTATATATAGCAAAGCTATATAAGTGCTATATATATATATATACACCTAGATCTTCCAACTATGCAACATTTCTGCCTTTTGGCTGTTGCACATAGGGCAGATCTAGGTATGCACTCCTCACCCGTTTGGTATTCGGAAGGTTGTCATCCAAGGTGCCATGCCATCCACGTTGGCCCGTTCCAGGGAGGGCACTTGATCCGAAGATCTGTGGGGAGAGAGCCTCGGGCGTGAAGGTCTTCGCTCCGACCAGATAGGAATCTTCACGAACAACGATGGATCTCAAGTTCAAGTCACTGTCCGAAGGTCCGGGACAATGGTTTTTGCTGGGGATACCATGCCCAGTGGATCCCAGTTACCACTATAATAAGGAACCAAGGTTTCTAGGTCTATGGTTTAAGTCTTTGGAACCACTGGCTGGTGACCAGCTATAACTGGATTGCTCTTGGGATGGTGTCCATCCCCATTCATAACACCTGCCTGGTGGGCCGACTGGAGACCTCCACGGACCATTTGTCGATGGAGACCATGGAGACCCTCGCCCCTCCGATAGACCGTCCCTCGCCCCTCCTCGATCGCTGATGTCAGCCACTCCTCAGGTGGGAGGGCGGGTGCAACCATCGCTTCGAGGCCCCTTTTCCCGCCGGTCCACCGGCGGAGCTGTTTGGGTGGAGTTTCATTTGGGGAACGCTTTCGGGGGGTTTGGGGCGGGGGCGGAGCTTGGAAGGCCTGCCCAAAAGGGCGATGTCCCTTTTGGGGACTCCAGTAAGGCACTGATGCCATGAGCTTGCAGGACGTGAGTGCGTCATGTCCCTCCTAGGAGGGGTTGGGTGGCCTACCCTGCAGCATTTGAAAGCTTTGTCTGACAGTCTGACATGTTCGTTTTTCTGCACAGATCGGAGGTCTTGAGGTCTGCGCGTGACCTGTTTTTGACCACTTAAGACCGTTGGATCACAGGTGACCCCAACGGAAACGACACCACCCACGAAAACGACCCAAACGACCCCACGGACCCAGTGTTGTCCCTGGCACTCTCAAAGACTGTTTTCATGGGAAGTTTCATGGGACGCTGCGGTGGTTTTCAGGGTCTATGTGAGTGGGACAACTAACGCGGTCTCGGTGACGAGCTCGGGCAAGGCCGCCCATGGGCGCCAGGCCCTCAGCCTTCACCGGTCCCAAAGCAGTAACACTAAAGAGGAGTATCACACGTTTTGGAAGGATGTTTTTTTGGAAAAAGGCCTTTCACCAACCATAACTAAGCATCATCATCTATTTGTTACGGAGTTCATGCCCAGTAGTTCATGCCCAGTTCCATGAAGGGTTTCATGCCCAGTCGTGCGGCTTCGTGATTCTTCAGTGACCACCCCACTCCAGTCACCACCCTCCGGGTCCGAACCGACGACCTGTCCGAGAACGACTCGGACGTCAGACGACCGGTGGGCGCTGCCTGAGCGATCACTTCAATCATTGAAGTGACGTGAGACGTGACGTGCCGTGACTTGGCGAAGTCCCCACGCGTTTTGTTCTTTCGTGGAAACCACTCTAAAGGAACCGCTCCAAAGGAAAGGACGACGAAGGCGACGTGTTGCTCTACTTTGGGGCGAAGCTGTGGAGTTTTAGACTTTTCGGGGACAAGGGATCTTGACGCTGTGTCACTTTGAGGCCCTCCGCAGGGAAACAACATGAAAAAACATGAAGTGACTTGGCCAAGGCTTTGGCCAAAGCCTTGAGCCAAAGCCTTTCAGTTCAATTCTTGAAGCTCCTCCATGTTTGCTGCGATATGATGTTGCTTTTCTCTGGCTCCGCTGTTGGTGTCCCCAAATTCAACTCGTGAATGACGCTTGGGTGCTCTGACACTCAAAAGCGAGGCCCAGTGCACACAACCAGCGTTGGTCAACCGGGTCTCCTCTGGTGCGGTGGCCAACCAATGGAGATGGGTACATGTGGGTGACCCTTGGCTCAAACCTAGAGCTGAGCGGGGAAGATGTAACCAATGTCTTGATATTTCTTGGGTGCCAAGAGTTCCCCAAAAAGTGCGATGCACCAGAAGTTCCAAAGGGCCCAGAACATCCGGGTGATGGTGGGGACGAAAGACCTCCATCAGGAGGAACTCAGACCGCATTGTGTGAACAGACCACCTGCTTTCGTTGGCACTCTTTGTTTGGGCCGGACTCAGTCAGCACCACGAACCAGGTCAGTTCGCCCCCCCCCCGAAAAGAACACGTCGCAGTGCCCAGTTCCAAGATGCTTAAGGCTCGGCCTTCCAAAGAAGCACTTTTTTCATCCTCGTTAGCATAGCCATCTGATTTATGCAAACATGGCTGGGGGACTGGGAGGACATCATGCAACATAGCCTGATCGTTCCAAGATGCTCAAGGACTCCATGAAAGCTGCTTCACTCGGATACTGGGATACCCATCCGCTCCGGCGTACGACCCATCCATCCGCTTCATCCCTTACTAAGGCAGGAATACAGCATGCGCTTCATCCCTCCAAGGTCGGGGGAAGGAGATCGTTGAAGATCCGCCGATCCGCCGAAAACCCGGGCCTGCAACCATCGTCTTGCACGAAAACCGGGGAAAACGGGTGTGGGTGTGGGGGGGGGTGGGGGTGGGTGGGGGTGGGTGTGGGTGGGTGTGGGTGGGTGTGGGTGGGTGTGGGTGTGGATCCTGAGTTGACCAGAGAACATGAACAGAATGGACGAGTTGGAGATCAATCTACCCTGGTGTGCTTAAAAATCTGGGTGCCATAACCCGGCTAATGAGATCTCCGGCTTACTTTTTACTGTGAAACCAGACTACCGGCTACCTGAGTACTGAACACCACCACTGTATGAACAGATGACTACTGACTACAGAATCAAGCTACTTAGGTTGATCCCATGCAGCAACTGCTTAAAGGTTCGGTTTCTTCGTGGGTATCGGATGCCACGGGGTGCGAAGACATGCGAGGGCGAGTTGGTTCTTTTCTCGGGAGATTCTCGGGAGAAGAAGTGCTTCTTCCGTTTGGAGTCCGCGTTCGAACACGGCAGAACACGCGACCCGAAACGGGCGAAACGGCATCCTTTTTCTAAAGAAAACGGTACGTTCTCTGCGGTAAGAGTGCTGGACTCTCGTCATGCGGCGCCATGAACATAGGATCATCGACGCACGTGGAAAGCGTGGACCACGTGATTTTCCAAAGCATCGTTCCTTCGTCTGCAGATGACCGATGGGCGCTTCCTGCGATGATTCCAAGTGTTGATGAGACTTGCAACCTGACCTTGCCTTTTTAAAAGGTGCTTGCTGGGGTGCTTGATGTAGAGCAAGTGCGGGTGGTTGGGAGTTCCAAGGTGGCTAGATTGCATGATCTACGTTCAGTGTGTTTAGAAACGAGATAGACCTCTCAGTCGTATCCAGTACCACTAAAAGACCGATTGAAGTTTTTGCCAGCAAGTTTTCCCCCATTTTGCTCTTCATTGGTCATGACCTTATACCACAATTACCACATGTGTTGCAAGATTTTTCGGTACTGCGTGAGGTGGTTCCGTTCCAAAGATGTCACAGGGCGCTGTGGTGTTTGGCAACATCATCTTCCAAATGCGCTGTGTTTGTTGCCATGTTCGTTTGGGTAAGGGTATGTCCTTCCCAAGTGATCTCACGGGGGATGGAGAAGCTCCTGCGCTCCGTTGCAGGGTGTAGCTGAAACTGGGAGGTCTCACCCTGTAATGATGCACATCTGGATAGACTGGCACGGGGTAGACTCTGACTCACCTTCACATGCTTTCGGACATGGAAGTCCTGTCGGGTCTTCGGAAGAACAGAAGGCGTTGTCATTTCCATGGGGACGTTTTCTCTGGATGTCTCCAGGTGGTCCTCCGAGGGTCCTTCGGCACGGCGTCGCCACCCCCGGCCACCGCGGAACATGGAGGTCCTACGAAGGTCGGTGTGGGACCAAGTAGGTCCAACAGCGTCACCCAAAATGGGAGTCGGCAGGACCTGCCGTTTTTTGGAGCAACCCCCTTCGGGCCCGAGCTGGTGCTTTTCTTCTCGAAAGGCCGACTTCGCTCCCCAAGCATCCACTCGATGGGGCCTGGTGGTTCGACGCCTGGGTTCGCACGCCGTAGCCGACCGGTTCGTCGCCCCAGGATGCCCCAAAACGCGCGGCAAAACATCCACCGGTCCCCGATTCGATCCCTGGGGGGCCAGACCGTTTACTCGCAGGGTGCGGGCGCCCGATCTCTGAACCGGGTCCGGACCCGGTTCCCAAGCCCTAGATGTTGCGACTCGGGTCCTGGAGTCTTAGGGGAGCTTGTATTACCCAAGTCACAGGGTACTCGTCTGGTTGACCAGGGGCCTTTTGCTGTATAACTGCGGTATACATGGGATGTGCTCTCTTCAGCAAGGTGCCCTGTCTGTTAATTTTCATTATGCGGATCATCGATGGGGCTGGGCCCAACTTCGGACGTCTCGGCCTCGGTCCGGCCGAGGGGCGGGGTGTTTTGTGAAGAAGTGTTGGGATTGGAGCTAACTTTGGGGGATTGCTTTCCCTAGACTTCCAAGACCATTAAACAAATGACCTGGTTTTTTGTAGTGTAAAATCCTTAGTTGATTCTGCAAAGCCTGTTAAATTAATGGTGGTTGGAAGCCTAGGGTTTGGGGATTGAGCTTTACACTCCATTGGGATCCTTGGGGCATAGTTTTTGGATCAGTTGGGGTGATTGATGGTGGTTGACCCAGGGTCACAGGCATATTGCCCATACATGGAGTGTCTGGGGATTGAGCTTTAACCTTAAAGATTCCAGGACTTTCCAAGTTTCGCCGCAGCAACAAGTGGATCGTAGTTTGTGACTGGCTGGTGGGCCTCCCTTCTGTGCGACTGGTGTGCGACTGGCCATTCAAGGCCTCTACTTTCAGGGTGAGAAAGGCATGCTTTTCATGGATTTTCTGACATGTCTTCATCTGCAGCTCATCAGGGGTGTCTCTTTGCCTAAAACGAACGCACAAGTCGGCAGATGGGGCACGGCGTGCCATGGAAATCCATAAGACGGCGTTGCTGCCGTTGGCCATCTCCGCTTGGTGGTAGTCTCAGATGGGTTGCAGTAAGAAAGAGCTCCTGACTAGTAGCGCCCATCAAAGAAGTTGATGTCCATGAAAGGTGATGAAGCCAAGCCTTGTCAAAGCCACACTTGCACACCCTGAAAAATTGTTTCGCAGGTGATTGCAGCATCTTGCAGTACTTGGGCATGTCTACTGCGCATTTTTCACATTGTATTTTCGTAATGATCTTTGGCAGTGATCTGTGAAGATTGATCTCAAGAGAACTATCAACAATTTGTTCAGTGTGGTCATTCTTCTTTTCTAACTTTGAATTCAGTTCGGAGCTTCTTGACTTTTAAGACAACAGTTGGTCAAGACGGTGATCCACCCTTCGTTCGTAGCTTCTTGACGCTTGAGACATCGTGAGACTCTCTCTGTTTTTCAGACAGCTCATGAGCCCCCTGGAAGTGGAGTTCCTGGAATCATCTGTTTTGTTTCGGGTGGGTGTTCTACTGTTTTCACCTTTTTCTCCACTCATCTCATTCCTTTCCGCTTGGATCTCTCAGCCAACGTATATATATATATACACCCTGGGAGTGAAAGACTAATAAAAGAGAATTGTCTTTAGGTGACCCGATTTCAGGACTTTCCATTACTTGTCGGTCAAAACAGTAGGCGAAGGACTGAAGAGTCGGGTACGTGACAGCTATGTGACTAGCAGTTCTCAAAGGACTCGTCTTCAGTACAATCCGATCCAGTAAGGCTGTTCTGTGCACCGAAAAACCTTCCAAGTTCATCCAGGTTGGAACCCGAAATGGAACCCGAAATGGAACTGCTGGCTGTGAGGATTTGACGCATCTGCTCTTTTTTCGGGTTTTGCCAGTGAAGCACTCGGGTTTTCGCAGTGACGCACGCGGCCACTGAGCCACTCAGGTTGAGCACCTCCTCCAGCTGAGTGATGGCGACGGCAGGCGCGGCAAAGGAAAGTCGGGTGAGGAACCGCGAGGAGCTTCTTCGGTCGCCCGCGTGAGCGCACAAAGAATGAGGGGAGAGCAGTTTGTTGTTTAAATTCAACACCTGCCAGGTGAGGGTTGTTAGATTCTATCAGAGCAGTTTTCATTTAATAAACCTGTTTTGTTTGTTGGTTCAAAGCTGGATGTGGAGCTTCCTTGTGGTTCAACACCCTTTCCATCGGAATTAGACTCTAAACTCCATTTCTTCGCAGGCCAGGCCAGAAGCGAGTGGAAGTGAAGTGGATCTTGTTCCTGGTCTCCATTTCTTGTCTTTGTTTGCACCGTTCTGCCTCCACGTGCAGCCACATGCGCCTTGGTCCGATGCCGTTGGATTCGACGGGCCGTCGTCTCGGCACATCGGGTGGTCTGTGGTGCGGCACAGAGGACTGTGATGCGAGGACTGAAAGGGCCGTCCCCCTTGCACAAATCAATCGAACGTTGACCACACAAAATCATATCTACGGAGGTGGTTTTTGGGGCACCATTTGCAGCAACATGCATATTGGATGCGGCAGTCTCTCCATCTTCCTTCGTGGTGGGCGTGCGGGGCATTGGCTGAATCCGCAGTCCTTCCGGATCCGCAGAGCCGAGCAACGTGATGCACGGGCAGGTGGGCCAAGTCTGGCAGCTCTGGTGCTGCTGTGCGAGAGCCCGGCGGGTCGGGCCGTGGTGTGGGTGACGAGCCCGGGTGAAGATGGGACGGTCAGGATTTTGAAGAGGTCAGGATGAGGTCTGTTTTGGTCCGTCCATCACATTTGGACTTCGGCCGTCAGGACTTCCGGGGGTTCCGAAACGAGGCCAGTCAGCTGTCAGCACGATCGCTCGGAGCAGGCAGAAGCAGGGTGATCTGTTTCAGGCTGAAGACCGGCGAAGCACGGCTCTTTTGGAGTTCAGAAGACAGAATCGTACGACCAAACAGTCAATCACTGAGACTCGCAGATTTGCAAGGTGTTCTGCTGATGTGTAGTGAAGGGGGAGGTATCGCAGCCACTGGTCTGAAGAAAGACTGGCTCTTGGACGAGGTGACTTCTCTCTGTGTGACATGTGAGCCCATCAATTCATCCAGCGTTTCGTCATGTTTCGTTGACTTGCTTTCGACGGGTTCTGAGGTGGTGCGCTCTGCTTCACACCACTGGCGCTGTGCGGGAGAAGCGTTTCTCCGGGGAAGGGCGTACGGGACCTTCTTCAGAGTCTCAGAGCCCAAAGCACTTGGTTTCACGGATGCCGTGGAAAGTAGGTCTTCACTTGGCAAGTACCGATCTCCACGTCGACCACCACTGTTCTTGAGGACTTCAAGCGAACATGTTCATTTTTCCCAGGTTCCTTAAGCAAATCCAAGTCTCAACGCATGGAGATGTATCCAGGCTTCACATCCAGGAGTCCATTGCACTTCTCCCAGTACGGCTTCCGATTCGCTGAAGGGGATCCATTCTCAAATACAGGGAAAGACGACGGTGGGATTATTGATGATGATTGTAAACCCACATTGGGCTGATCCAGCCATATGATACGAGATCAGGCTTTGGTCTTTGTGAGACCTTAAGGGTTGATCAGACCCTACTATAGAAGACCATAGAAGAGCTGACAGGCCTCTCTCTGGGGTCTGCTCATTGACCCGGAGAACGGCCCTGTCTGAGGTTTGTTGACACTTATGCTTCGCAGACAAAGGTCACCTGACATTCCTTGGAAAGACACTACAAAAAAACAGAAGGGATTCTCCGATTCTCCTAGAGATGTACATGTTCCTTGACATGCAACATGCCATGATTTTTAAGCATCCCAAAAGGCAAACATGTATCACACCTGCTCGACCCTACAAAGATGACCCTTGCAGCGATCTCCTTCGGTCCAGTCCGCCGGTGTCTCGCACCTGACATCATGGAAGACCAGTAGTGGACACAACCCTGTTTGGTACACAGGAGAAGAGACGACACAGACCTGTGTGCTTGGTCAGGCCATCCACTTTCACGTGATGTGTTCGTCAGAGGGTATGTTCTTTTTGGGGAGCATTGAAGACAGGCAAAAACAGATGGACACAGTCTTTAGCGTTCTCCGTCTAAGGTGCTACTTTGAAGACTGGAAGGTCAGATGGCGGCCCCAAAACACCACTGGTGTTTTTAGAACAGCACCTTTCAACTTTCAACTGCCTTCTTTTAAGGTTTCTGACAGCAACTGCATCATTGATGGATTTCTTGTCATAAGACTTGGTACTTGTAGTATGCAGGAGGTGTATTGTTGTTGTAATGAAGTGAAATCGTAGGTCGGTGGAAGTGGGACTGTACGCCCTAAAGGAGGGGCCGTTCCCAAGATCCGTCTTTTTTCCAACAGAGTTGCCAACACCGAAGGGTAGATGATTCCAAGAGTTGGAGCTCCAAAAAGCACCATGCGCCAAACACCGGCCAAACACCATGCCTTTGGTCGCCGGGCCGCCGGACGCCGCCTTCCTTTTTTCCGGTCCCCAAAACGCCTCGTCCCCACCCTCCCGCCGGACTGGACGTCCTGGGATCGGACGTCCGGCGACCAGGAGAGCGCCCTGGGCCACAGCTTGGGTGTTTTTCCTGATGCCGACGTCCCTGAAGAGGCCGCTCCGCATGGCGCGTTACCCGCGGGCACCTCCCGGCGGATCCACGGCAAGCCGCGGACCCGCGGGGTTTTCCCGCGTTCGGTTTGAGGACTGGAAGAGAGAACGGACGAGAGGGCTGAAAGTGCTGGAGGTGCCGTCGTTTTGAGGAAGGTGAATCGTTTTCTTGGTGCTTTCCCTCCTCCCCACCAGTCCGGAAGTTTCCAGGAGTTTTTCCCAGGATCTCAGGGATATCTTTTTTTTTTTGTCAGTGTTCACAGTTTTTTGTCATCTTTCACAGGTTGAGTGATTTGTTGGGCCTGACTGAAGATGCTTCTCCAATCGTACGAATCGTAGAGATGGAACCACTCTTCACACCGGAGCGGTGTCATTCGGTGTGCACACGACACCGGACCCCTGACTATGCCCTAACTGGTCCAGTTCGACTATGACCGACTGAAGTAAAGGAAGTCCCTGAAATCGGGTCGTCAGACCATTCTTTGTAACTAGCTTCTTATTTACTACTAGTAAGGCACTTGTTACTAGTAGCGATGCACTTGTTCCTAGTAGCTTCTTGTTTCTACTCTAGTCTTTGATTCGCAGGGTATATATTATCCCAAGCCACCCTTGCCGTCCCTGGTGCTGGTACAGATTCCTTTCTCACCACACCTGCCAGTGTTTTCTGCCGTCTTTTTTTTACGTCCAGATTCGACGTCCGCACCTCCGAAGTATCGAAGCCTCCAACGAAAAGCATGTCGAAGCCTTCAGGGTTTCAGATGGGTTTCATGGCGGTGGGACGCAGCCCCATGCCCCTAGGTTGCAGGTTTCGGGCGGATGTGACAGAACCAGAGGGTGTGCCCCTAATTACCCGTTCGGCACTGAGCACTCCACCGGTCAGCGGCGGTGCCACCTGCCACCTGCGCTCGTCCCGGCCCGGTCCATGTCGAGTCGTCTTGTCCGGTCGAGGCCGGCGACAGCGTCTCTTTGGACCCTGACGACCCCGCGGATGAAGCGGAGGCACGGGAAGAATCCTCCTCCTCTCGGTGGGAAGCGTCTTCCAATGCAACAAAACTCTTGGTGGAACACCACAAGTGGCCCGACTGACACTGGTAGAGTTTGGATCCATCTCGGGTGGTTTGCTCAATTTCTTCCTTCACCAGGAATCATGCTGTGATATGCAATCCATCGCTTTCGGATCATTTGTCATGGGTCAAGGGTGTTCAATGGAGATGGTGTGTTGGAAGGTATTTTTTTTTCTCAGAAAGCCGGTGGTTTTGCTGGGATGGACCCGGTAACCAGTGAAAGGTTTGACGCCAGGTGACCAGGTGTCTGCCTGGCGTCGGTGTGTGGGTCTTTTGGAACCTAAGGACCTAAGGTTTAGGTATGTGTTTGTGACTTGGGTGTCTCAGAAATCAAGACCAAATTGATGGGGCACGACACACAAGGTACTCGGCAAGTAAGAGCCATCTTCATGCATCTCGGCTCCAACCACGGAACGAAAACACCTTCATTTTTGCGCTTCCGACCAAAGGCATGGCTTCCGGACCATGCCGGGTCGCGCATCGGAAGCAAGCAAGCGTTTTCACTCATCGGACCTGAAGGTTCCGGTTTTTGGACGGTGGGGAGGAAGATGGACGTGCTTGTGTTCTAGTTGAGTCTTGAGTGACATCATGGGTCGATGATGTCATTTTCCCAGATGGTGTATAGGTTGGAATGAGGTTTTAGCTGGGGGGGGGGTAGAGGAGCAGCAATCTCATGAAGTTCTCAAGCCTTCTATGAAACACACATATACAGTGAATACAGTCTGGGCTGTGAATACAAATCCTTCCAAATGTCCACAGGTTGGGGGTGACCACCGGATTTTCATCGAACCAAACCACCCCTGACCTTCCAACGGCCAGTTTCACCTCTTGGGTTTGACCGTTTGACCTCGCAGCTGGGGAGAAGGTTGTTGCGTGTTGGTCACATGGATGAGATGAAGCTGAAGGTTCTTGCGGGTGAGAGGGGTCTCTCAACATGAGGCTTCACAAGCTGCTGTTCACTGTCGTTGTATTTTTTAAAAGTTAATCCATGGTTTCGAGCAGATGGCATAGACCATCATAACCCAGTTTCACCAGTGACAGGGGTTTGCTTTCTGGAATCGCCCTCTTTTTCTTCTCAAATTGAGGCTGTTGTGGCGCTTATCTGGAGAGCAAAACACAAACCCACCGCTTATTGCGCTTTCTTTTTACCCTGCTGGTGATTTATATAGACAGAATGACCTCTATGCTTTGGACCATGGCCAAGTTCAGCGGTCTATTTTCCATGTCTTTGTACATGAGCAATGGTGTTGTGCTGTAGGCCAATGACTATGGGATTCCAACAACCATTGTTTCAATGGTCTTGACCAAACAACCATGGTTTGATGTTTTTTTTGCGCTGCTTCCAATAGGTCAACCATTTGTTTGAATGGTCGAACTGGCGACCAGGGATACACTAAATGATCTCATTTCGACCGGTCCTTCAGCCTCTTTGGGGGTTCGACCCCAGCCGGTTCATGCCTCGGTTTCTGGACGCGCCGCCAGTTCAACCGTGCGTCCGCTCGCGGCGCTCGCCCCCTCTCTCGGCTCAGCGCGAGACGCGGCACGCGGGTCCCTCTCAGCAGAAGGGACGCCGAGCAGAAGGGACGCCATGAAGCGCCGCGATGGATACAAGGCGTCTGGTTCGGTGAACGCGACGCACGATGCACGATCCGTCCTGCGGTCAGGGTGTTTTTGGAGGCCCTGAGGTCAGGGAGGGTCTATTGATCTAGATGGGCACCTGGAGGGTTGGAAGAGGATTTGGCAACCTTGGGCCTTTTGATCTTTCCATGGGTGAGAATCAAGTATCCAGCCTTGAAAACGTAATACGTTTTATGGCTTGCCGCGCTGAACAGGCGGAACATGAGGTTGGCCAGTCAGGAAGGCCTGAGAAAAGAAGGGCCTCTTCAAGAAAACGTCCCTACTTTTTTTGGAAGAAACACACAATGGGTGCCCAAATCTCGAAGCAAACCATCTGGGAGCGGTGGTTCCAGGCTTCTTCCAAAGTCTGGGTTCCCTGCAACTGTTGTTCGTTAACGGAATCAACCAGACAAATCACTCCACCAACCAAGAACATCCAAGAACTGTACCAGTCAGAGTCATAACCCTCTTTTTCATTCTTCCAGGATCGAAATCCCCACCGCGCCGTGCGGGGTTGAAACCCCACCGCGCCGGCACGCGACGGTCGTCTGGCTCCACGACTGGTCGCCCCCAAACAACGCAGATGCGCTCCGGAGACAGTGCCTTCGTGGACAAGGAGGCGTGGAGTGCGCCCGGGCGTTGGTGGAAGGGGTCCACGACAGGGCTGCAAGGCTGTGGAGTGGAGGATTGGGAGTCCAAGACTATGTTGAACATGGGAGTTCGGTAACTATTCAATCAATGGTGATTCGAATCCTAGTGTGCAGGGCCTGCTAGACTCTCAAGTGTGATCACAAACATTCCCAACAGACCGGTCTCTTTACGGAGGGTCAACGCTTTCTCGTGGAGAACGTGTCCATTTGGGTGGCTGTGGTCCCAAACAAAAACAACGACCTCCAAAGCTGGCCCTGGGCTCCAAGATTTCGCCAGTGGTAGTTAGGTAGTTAGCGGTGCCTGCCTCTTCGTTTCCTTCGTTCTTGTTGTGACCGACGACCGAACCAAGACATCTGCACCTCTGGCAAATCGGATCGATCGAAAACTCCAGATCCCTCTGTTTTTCAGAGCTGAGGCTCTTCAGTCCCGCGTTTTGCCGATCAGGTGATTTTTGGTATGTTCCCGAACTGGGTGAATCACCTAACCTGGGAAGATTTCTTGTTTCCAGGTTCCTGGATAGCAAATCTAAGTCAACCAACCGGGAGATTCGACTGGGAAGACTGGGAGTCCCCATGGGTGGAGTCACGGAGTCACTGCTTGGGCTTCGTTGATTCGGAATCCGGACAGAGACCCCACTGTGCACAAGTGAGATGCCCCTGAACAGGTTGCTTTTTGACCACTGAACAAGGCATTGCCACACTTCTTAGGCTGCAGCCCGGGAAAAATTGAGAGGTTTTTGAGAAGGTAGAGTACTGTGTCGTTCTGAATGAGTTCATGTTCCAGGCAAGACCTGAGTTCCAGGCCAGACAGGATGGCTTGGATGTCCAACGAACCTCTCTCAACCCATGGGCTGACATAGGCTGAGTATGCCAAGATGCTGAATGAGTTGCGGCCGAAAGCGATTGAAGCCGATGCTCGGACAGCTACAGTTGGAAGCGATGTGCAGAATTGCCTGAGGGCGTCGGGCTGTTGACCGTGCCCACCGTTCCAAGAATTTTGGTCAAGACTGGTTGATTGGTCAGTTCGCTTGATGGAAGCACATCTACTTAGATCTGGCCAACTTTGGAAGCCTGGTTGGAAGCTTTTAACTTTGCTACCCGCGCCCGCATAGCGGTCGCAACCTCCAAGGTGTACGCTCGGTGTTCTGCGAACGAGACCAAAAAGATGCTCCACCTACACCGGGCCACCCACATCAGCATGTGACATATGATTGAACATATGGAAAGAACCGAAGAGCCGCATCAAGCCATTGGGATTACCCTGACATCGTCCAATTCTTTGGGGAAAAACCAACGCGGCGTCCAACGCGGTGGGACCTGGCGCTCTAAGGACCCTTTGGGAAGTTTCCAGTCCATGGACCCCCGTGGGCGAAACGCGGCGTTCTCTCGAGTTGCGGGGCAAGCCGCACGGTCGTGGTTCGGAAAAGCCGACGTTGGGTGATGAGATAGGAAGCAAAAGGTGGTGGAATCTGGGAAAGCACCGGGTTTTTCTTTTTGTGTTTCTGCAAGGTTGAGGAGGGTGAGATGAATTAGGGCAATATGAGCAGGGTGACAGGGCACGTATTGAGGCATGGAGCTACAGAGGAGTTTTTGCTGGTTTTCCTATAGGGGCTCAACATGGCGATGTACTTTTGAGGAGGTTCCAGTGTGGGATTCCAGTATTTTATATACCCCCCTCAGAAGTCTTTGCTCAACTCCCCAAGACTGCTTTTGAATGCCTTTGGCTTCAGTCCCTATATAAATCACCGATACTTAGTGATTCTTTTTTTCATTCGAGTCCTTGACAGGGGGATGTCGGCAGCCAAAAACCCATCCAGGCAACCTGTTTTGAGGGTCTGCTCTCTGCAGATCTCGTCCAACTGATCTGGGCTTCGACCGCGGTCGGACCTCGATCTGCTCCTCCGAACGACTTCAGGGATAGGACCTCTCTCCGAAGAGACGAAAGAATCCGATCGCTGGAAGCTCCGCACCGAATCCCACGACCGGAGTCCGGGATTCGGCAAAAGACCATGTCGTCACTTCTTTTGAGGTATTGCTACCCTGCCTTTGGGGGGAAGGCTCTGAGGAAAGTGCTCTTTTTTTTCCCAAAACACAAGCTAACTCTGTTGGTTGGAAAGGGACCTACTGGTACTTTTAGGTTGTATGCTGGGGCTCTCATCGAAAGGTGTTTTAACGCTGTACTGGCAACTCCATTGGTCTTTGCACTCTTTGGGTCGGCTTTTTTGATGACAAATCTGGTTTGGGTATCAGCGTTCCATTGGGATCAGCTCCCGGGGGTGACTGGGGGATGACTTCTTGGAAACAGCGTTGCCATTGTGATTTGGCATTGAAATAGTTGCAAGGGGTGAGTAAGGGATGACTTTGTCAGGTTCCTGTACAATCTGTGCTTCTGGTGTCCCTACTGGTCGTTGGGTTGGACTTCTGATTGAACATAAAGCCTATAGACCTTCCAAACGTGCAACATTGATGTTTTTTCATTTAGAAAAGCAGCCCAAAAGCATACATTTTGCATAGTTGGAAGACCCAAGGTAAATCAATTTTCCTCCACCACCGGTGGACATTCCTCCCAAGCCACGCGCGGGTGCCGCGCAGCTGGGCGATCTGCGCAGGAGACCATGCTAGGCAATCAGCGGATGGAGATGCACCGCCTGATCCACGGCTTTCACGACATGGCCATGAGGCAGACTGGCTGGATGCGGTCGCGAATGCCCTGATGGTCAGATGGGCCGGGGTTTGGAATGTCTTCTTGGTTTTGTTGGCGCATGTCTTCTTCTAAGGTTTGCCTCACGACAAATCTGACAGTCTTTCAGGAAGAGTGTATGCATGGATATGTATGGACAACTGAATCCGTGGGACATTTCATGACACTTCTTTTATCCCTAATGTAAGTTGGACATCTGTTACGAAAGAGCTTCCATGAGACTTCCACACGAGATGAGCTCGCTTCCACGGACGCGGAGCGCCTCGTTTCATCACCAGGTCTCAGCTACGCAAGGCTTAATGTGTCCACCCGGCTTCATGTGTCCGCCCGGTGGCATGGAAGATTCACGTGGAACCTGAAAACCCCGATTGTGCAGCTGGAGGACAACTTCCAAACTTGCAGATAGCAAGCACGATCGCTGGCGAAGAGCGGGGAACGGTGCATTTTTGGCATCACGACCCATCTCTGTTGTGCATGCCAATGACAAGCTACGATTTTCACTCCTGAAGAGGACACATGTCACACAACAGCTTGTGGAACTCTAGCACCCTTTGCAGATCCCAAGATGGAATGCAGAAACAACTTGCCCTTTTGCAGCCGTCCAGGCTCAGCGTCCATTTGTGGGGTACCTTCTCCAGGTTCAGCCACGCAGGTTCCGGTGTTCACACCATGCTGTGCTGCAGGTTCCTAGTGCGGAAGGAGCAAAGCTGGCGGAAGGCGGACCTGCATGGGCACGAGGGAAAAAACCCGGGTTTCTCTTATCCGACTCGTGCAGAGGGTTTTTCCGCGCTGGGCGGATGTCCTCGGGATTCGGGCGTCCAAGTCCCCATGAAGACCGTACCAGCGGCGCATGGTGCGACGAGATAGCGGTGCTTCGACCGCGGTGAGACAGCGGTGGCATCGGTGTACCCCAAAGAAACATCTCTATGGAGGTGACCCCAGCATCATGGTGAACCCGAGGGTCATGGTGAACCCGAGGAGCAATCTTTGCGGGTTGTGGTGTATCGCAATGAACTGTCTTTTGCTTTTGAACACGTTCTTTTCCCACATCCGGATGTCTCTCCATGCGACCCCCCCGCCGGTGAAGAGAACTGGACGCGTCGTGTTTCTTCGTGTTTCTCACCCAGCCGGTGGTGGTCTGGGGGGTCTGGTCGACCGAACGCTCCTTGGTGAACACGTTGTCGTTCTCCAAAGCGATCCCCGTTCGAAGTGAAGACCTGCCACCAGCCGAGCTTCTGGACATGCTCTGATCATCGGGTCACCGAGGAGGAACGACCACTTGAAAGAGTCCCGGAGATCGGGATCCGGTGAAGTACAGCATGCCCCGCAAACTCGTCACCCCGCAGACACTGGAGACCATGAAGGGAAGAAAGGAGTCGGTCGGTCGAGACGGAGGCGGAGGCAGCGGGGCGTCCAGAATGTTGATTTGCATGCTCACATTCCACCCCTTCCGTTCAAGCCTTTTAATAATGGGACAGACCTGGATGACCTGGTTTTGTAGTGTAAACTGTGTAATAACCTGTGTAAAACAAATACGTAGTAAAACAAGGGTTGTTTGGTGAAGTCTATAGATTAATGGTGCTTGGAACCAACAGTCGCCAACAGTTCTGGTCCATCAGATTCTTGATTTCGAGCACCTTCTTGTTCCAGAAGGAATCCAGTCCGCCCAAATCCCACCGCAACAGTATCATTCTGCATGTTCTTTTTCGGGCCTCAAAACAGGCAGAGCTGGACAGGCAAGCGGTAGGTGCTGAATTGGAGGTGGGGGCACCCCGCGACGCGAGCGTCGCGCGTGGTCCCCACGTCGCGCGTTGCAGCGCGTTGCAGCGGAGGTGGATGATAGATGATGATAGGATATGATAGGCCAATCCACCTCCGTGAAGCAAGTTGGAGGTCCAATAGTGATGATGAACAAAGCCACCTCACTTTCGGATGATAGGTAGGTTTTCCTTGCTCCGCCTGGTTGGAAGTCAAAGAGTCAAAGTACCTTTGACCTGAAGTGAAACCAGGGTCAACCTTGACTCACCTAATGTTTTTGTGAATTCTTCAGATATGGAGGCTAGGCTGGAGATTTGGGTTTTGAATCTGGAGATCGGAGGCTACACTCCGACTCAGTAACTTGGAACTTGAGTGACTTCACCCCCTTGCTTAAAGGAAAGTCGTCTTCCTAGTTAGTAGAGACCGTGCCATCCACTTCCATCTTTGTGAGTCCGAGTGTAAAGAGAGGATCAGAGAGTAAGACCAATTAACAATTTTGGTAGAAGTTCAAGTAAATGCTAGAACTCATGAATGAACTACTGAACTCGTGAATCAAGTAACTAATTAGTGAATTTGTAACGAATGCTCGAACTGTGACGTACCAATTCGACGACCCGTCTCTCGTGATCTTCGGTGCGTGTGGTAGCCAACCGGACCTGCTGGAGCTGCGACCCACCGGAGCGGAGGGGAATCCTCGTGACCATTGATGACAGACCACCCGGGGTTCGTCGTCAGCACTGGCGTCCCATGGCTACCCACTCTTGGCGCAGTGAAGTTGGATCCACCAACCGTAGTGGTGTTGCCGGAAAGAGAGGATGCATGTCGTCCACATGACACAAGCTGTCGATGGTTACGTGTTCCTGCACCACGTTCGATTTATGTAGATCTTAGATACTGTACCGCCCCAACCACACAGTCGTTCCCAGTTGGTGTAGAAACTCCATCCATGACGTGCGACCCGACTTGTGTCCCTACCTTTGTAGTAAGTCAACTCATCTGGTTGATTTGTCTGCTGTGGCAGGTTACTGACTCCCTCCCAGCATGGTAAGTTGGATGTGGAGCAACCTCCTTTTGCTGATCTATACATAATTTAGTCTTTGGATCACTGAATCACTGGCCACATTTGTTTACGTCTGGATGGGACGTGGACTGGCTACGACCTTTGTCGAGGGCGTCGGAGGTCGCCGTCCAAAAGGGTCATACCATGCACGGTTCCCATAGTTTGTTGGAGGGCGTTCTCCCTGCACCAAGACCCATGAGCTCAGACACTATTTCGACCGTTTTTGATTGTAGCAGACCGCAGACATCCAACCAACCTGGGTCACCGGTTACCGTGCGTCGCGAACGACCGGGAAGGCTTTGAAGAACAGCCCTCTTCGAAGCCAGAGCAAGGCCAGCAACAAGGGCAACAAGGACGTCTTCCCGTCGCGATCGCGCGCAGCTCGCGACCCGTGTCGTCTTCCGTGTTTGTCTTCCACCATCGGACGAAGAAAGAACGAAGCGAAGGTGTTGAAGAGCCGACCTGAGACAATTTGAGACCTGAGAAGTCCAGAAACAGTCCAGCGTTTTCCGGGGCTGAGCGTGCTTCCAACGATCTCTATATTACTAGTATATTACTATTTTTTGAATATGATGAACACCTTCTGTTCAATGTGGATCCTCTATCACCTTCGCTGTTTCTTTTCTTTTTGCGTCAAGAACTGGAGTGATCCGGAAGGGCCTCCCAAGGTCGCCGGAGGATGGCGAGGAGGAGCCCCGGCCCTGGGCTGCCAGCCAGGGCCCTAAGGGGTGAATGAACACCCTCTAAGGGGCTATTTGTTAGACACCCTAGATCACACGGGGCGCTAATATAGAAGGGCCAGAAGGGCCCACGATTGACTTCATTGCGGATCGAAGGCTCGGCTTGACCGATTGGGATTGTCGCGAACTGGGTCAATCCGGAGAACTGGGACATTCTTTTTTATTTTTTTTCTCCCGCTTTGAGATGGTTTCGCCATTCAGAAGCTTCTCGAATGATTCAGGAAGGTTCCGCCCTTGGACCCCGACAGACTGGACCAGTCCCCTTGGACTTCTGGACCTATCTGGCAGTACTTGGAGAAACGCACCTTTATAGAACTTGGAGAACGCGTGTCTTGCAGCGTTGAGATGCTCTATTTGGAGTACCGAAAAGCGCCCCCTGTAGGTAGGGCATTTTGCAGAAACCCGAAAAGCTCATCTCGTCTCCTTTCGCTCGAACATCCTTTCGACACCTGGTAGGCCCTGAACACCGTGAGACAAGGCCTCGCACGCGTCGAGCTGCCAGGACGGCAGTTCCAACGTGGTCTTGTTGGCCCAGCTCGAACGCTGCCGCGAGCAACTCCTGGATTCGGAGCGGAGTCTCCGGGACGTGCAGGCGTCGCGGAGCGGACCGTGGAGCGGTGCGGAGCGCCCTCGTGTTCTGCACGGGGACGTGGTCGGGGAGGACGGTGTGGCGACGGCCCCACCCCTGGGGTCGGTTCAAAGACCAGTCTACTCCGCCGATGACCAGTCTGATTTCGGGGTTCTCCCTATGTGACGTGTTTGCCCAGCCTGGAGCGACCCTGATTCCTCATTCACATCGAAGTGAGGGCCAATTTCTCTGAGGTGTTCTTCACTCACATAGACTCCGTAGACTGTTGATTCTATTTCAACTCATTTTCAACCCTCCAGTGGAGGTTTTTTTTACAATCCATGTTTGGGGAGGTTGATTCATCAACAGTCTACATTACTGCTTTCCCTCTTTGACTGAAGTGCGACTTGGATCGATGAATTCAGGCGACCAAGTTCCGCCACAGATGCACACAACCGAGTGTTTTCAGACACACACGGACAATTCGCGATTGAAATGAACTTGAGTGTGGGGTCTGAGTCTGGTCTGCGGAACTGTAGGTTACCTTTTCATACAATATTAATATAGCTACAAAGCCAACTTTCAAGTGTGGGACAGCAACAAGCATCAAGAGAACAGGACCCCACCAACCTAAAGCACTGGTCCTATTGCATGTGGACACTGGGTAACCACCTTCTTGCAGTTCGAACAGATGTGGACACTGGCTCGTCTTCAATCAGGGTCGTGTTTTTTCTCCGCCGATTGGACTCCGCGTGTTGTCTTCTTTGCTTCAGGAGGGAAGCTGCTTCAACTCAGTTGATTCTTGTTTAAACAATACCTACAGGTCGCCGGTCCGTCCAATCGAAGTGTCCATTTGAAAGAAAGACGCCTATTGACCTTGGGGCGTCAAAACGTGGACTGGCTACGACCTGGGCCTCGAGGGTTAAACGGTCGTCATCCAACAGGCACAACAGGTCATGCCATCCACGTAACCTCGATCCCTGTACCAATACCATCCAAGACCCATGCGACGAGGCAATCATGCAGCGACAATCATGTGAGAATCCAATTGAAACCAATTGAACACAAACAAGTGTACCACTTGGTCCTTGGTTGGAATCGAGGTTACACTTTTCTTCGCAATTTTTAAAGTTTGAAGACACACGTTTTGCTGGGACACCAGAGGCTAGCGGCCCATGGATTGCTGGGAACATCATGGACACATGCAGAATTGGTTCATTTGAACATGGATCAAGACAACGGACTGGTGCGACGAAAGCAGGGTGGCTGAGGGTGGCTGGATCCTAAGGAATTTGTAGAAAAAGCTGGATCGCACCGGGTCACCTTCACTTTCGTCGCACCAGTCAGAAAACGAGGAGGCCAAATAATCCACTTGAAGGTGAGCACTCGGCGTCAAGCCTCGGTAACAGCGTTCACACACCGGTGACTGTTTATTTTTGTTCATTGGTGCCAAAGACGATGTTCCGTCTGAGAAAGGAGGGGCAACTTGTTGAGGCATTCATTTGAAACATGTGGAGTGGACAGATTATTGTTATTACTTATTTTTTTTAAAATGCATGTGACAGCCACCCGTTTTTCTTCCCGTTGGGCCAAGTTCTTGGAGGTTTTTCTGTTGAAGATGCTCGAAGGGAGGACACGTGGGGAGTCTTTCCCGAGAAAGGCCAGCTCTAGATGCTCCCAAGAACGGTGATTGATGATGTCCTTCTTTGGTGTAGTCGTACTTAAACAATGAAGTCACTGAGGGGGGGAGGATGTTTTCCTATTTTTAAAGCAATTGACACGCACAAAATGATGCTTGTCTGCCAAGCTGTCTACCCCCAAGTGGTTCGGATCGAGACGACAAGTTGACGATGAACAGCTGAGCTGGATACTCTTGAGTGCATGAAAATAGGTGTTGCTTTCATATGTTCATCACTACTAGCTGGCTAAGTTGATCAGTGGGGTGCTCACACCAGTAGAAATGTGGGGCTACACCTTTCAACCTAGTAGGAGCTTCCACTAGGCTGACCCATGATGGAGCAGGATGGAGCTTCATTGGTAGAAAGGAACACGGCCCAACCAAAGACTCAAGCTACCAGGACCCTCCAAGGGGTGTCCAATGAACTACCCACACTACCTATAGGCTTCCATTGGGCACCCCTTGGAGGGTCTTGGTAGAGTTAACTCAAACCAAGGCCCTTAGGGCGGCCACATGACCGAACCGTCTGAAAACCGCTCAGCGACGCCGGTGGCGCCGCCGGATGTCTTCTGACGGGTCGGTTGGGGCTCCATGCTTCGCCTTGGCTTCAAGCATGTGATGTGGCGGTGGGTCATGGCGCCCGGGCACCCTTGTGGATGCCAGAAAATGAACATAATGAACCGAATCCTCCTGCTGGCGGGATGTCAGCCTGGGGGGGAGGTGACTCGCCCCAGGCTGCTTTGAGGTCGATGTGCCGGTTCTGCCAGTCTCTCCCACCTCTTCAGGTCTCCCGGTAATTCGGTCCAGGGGTCCAGCTCCTTCGGCGGTGGGCTTCAGCTCCTTCGGCCACAGTACCAACTTGGTTTTTGGGGTCGCAGTACTAGTAACAAGAAGCTACTAGTAGCGATGCACCTGTTACTAGCCTTGTTACAATAGTATAGCTTCTGGTGGTTGTTTTTGGACTGCCCTCTTTGATGAAGATCTTTTTTTTTCCAACTCGAGCGAAGGCGGAGAACTTCGAGCTCAGAGAGCAGTTGGCGGCCATTCAGGTGGGTGAGCTCCGTGTTGGGTGTGGGCGGGCGCTGAGGATGAGGATGAAGGGTTGTAGGATGAGGAGGACAAGGTGAGTATAGGCGACTGATGGAGGATGAAGGGATCGAAGTAGATGAACAGACGCAAAAAGGCGCTAGACAGAGCATGTTGCAACCATCGGTCGTGCGAAAAACCGATGGAAGAACCATGCCTTTTGGGTGAAGCGACCATCGGTCCGCTGGGATGAGATGTGCTAAGTGGACCTTGTTTTTGGAAGCGTTGGACCAGGGCTCAAGGTTGAGTGAATGACAGGTTGGGATCCAAATCTGTCCAGGAAACGCAGACTCTTGATTAATAAACCATAATGTTTTAAGAGGTTAGAAAACCTCTTCTACCTCTCGCGGCCACAACGATTCCCCTCGTTTGAGGTGGCCAGTGCCGCCAGCGTTCCACTGGAGCGGCATTCGAAAAGAGTCTTTCTACAGGACGGAAGCAAAACACTATCGAAATTCGGCAACAGCAAAAGCCCAAGAGGACATCGCGGCCCCTGTCACCTTGCGTGACACAAGTGTGAGCAACATCAAGGCATCGTCACAAAAGTAGGGTCGAGCACCACACAGCGAACCCGGGGGCATCGACTTACCCCAAGTATGCGCAATGTGTGGCTGATAGTGCCCAGGTGTGATCGAAAAGGGCAGCTGTCGGCGGCAGAAAGCAAAGGATGACTTTATCCACTTCGCAAGTTCTTGAAATGTACAATGCTCGTTTTGAAAACAAGAGCAGGGAAGCTTCAAGAAAAGAAACAGAAAAAATGTGGGGGCTATTTATCAAGAGTCTACATGATTCATGGATTGGAGGTAGCCTATGGACGATATTTGGTTCAGGACATCGTTGTAAACCAGGTCGGCGTTGCGCCATGAGCATAGTTGCATCAGGCACCAGAGGTTTCAGTCGGTCGGGTTGCTTACAGAGGTTACAGTAGGGTGGAGGCCATCGCTAGTACGTTGGAGGCCATCGCTAGTAGGTTGTATTCCAATTGGGGAGAATGTATTCTAGGGAGATGATATGATGCACTTAGTGTTTGGCAGTCTAAGAAGCCTACCTCCAGCTGGAACCTTCCTTCACACTCCGAGTGGAGTTCGGAGCCCCGAACTGGATTTCACTTAGCCCAGCCCCAGCGAGCCAATCGCAGCCAATCGCTGCGTGCTCAAAGGCCGTGGGCGCTGGGTATGGCAGCATTCTGAGCCCAACGAGCTCCAAAGATGTCCGCTGGATGCCGCCTGCAGAGCCCGAGGCGACCGCTGGACGCTGGACCGCGTCGGATCCAGTGGAGGGAAATCCGGTGGATGGCCAGTCATCAAAAGGATGAGCCTATTAGTTTGATGTGCCATGTGACCATGTGCTTTTAGTTTTTCCTTTTTTCTCTCATGTCCAGTTGGGTGATTGAACACACGATGCCTATAGGCATATGATTGAAGACCATGTGGTCACATGGCAGTCTGAATCGATCGATTGGGCTCCGGTCCGTCCTCGTGTGGAGTCACGTGGAGAACTGGAGGGGGGGGTCCCCAAGGCCACCGCATTTCAAGGGTTGACGCGGTGAGGTGGGACTTCTCGACTTCGACTTCTTGAAGTTCTGATCCCAGTTTTTCTCATCCCCAGTGTGCGTTTTTTGGGGAGGTCATCGGCTTAAGACCCCAAACAGAGGTACCCGGAATTCAACGGCTCATTGGTTCAGTGGAGGTGAGTGAGTGGCACTGTGATGGCACCTCTTTGGGTCTCCGGAATGAATGGCACCACCTCCACGCGTCCCACGCCACGTGAAGTGTCGCCGTCACCGAGTCCGCGTCGGTGCGACTCGCCGATGTGACTGACGGACTTCGGGATGGCAGGTCTGATCCAGTCTGAAAAGCATGAAGTGAAAGAAATCCAATCTTTTTTTAAAAAGTTTTTCATGGTTGAGGGATGTTGAGGCTTTGGGTTATTTTGTGTTACAGCGTTTCTATAAAATTATGACCAACTTCAATGTGATGAGGGGAATCTCCAAGTCGCCGGGAGACACGTTGCTGGTCTTCCACCGGTGCTCGAAGATCGATACACACGATGCTCGCAGGTGAGCGACACCAAGGATTCGGTGGCGCAGTTCCTGGAGAAGTGCCCTGGCGAGTGAACTCGCTGCGAGTCCGCGAGTCCGTGTGGGGGTGCGTTCGACGTGCGTTCGACGTAGACTGCGCGTACCTATTGGGAGGGCTGTTTGATGCTGTTTTGGTGCGACCCACGGGACTGCGTGGGTGCCGGCTGACCCATTCGCGTCGGACCCGGACCCGATGGCTGCTACGGCTGCAGAGGTTTTTCATGTCCTCGCCCTGGTTGGTGCCGGGGCACTGGACTGCCGACGAAGACCGGGGCTGCCGGAGTGCCCACATGCGGGTGCTTCGGTGAGGGATGGGACCCTCCTTGTGAGGCCAGAAGCGGGTTAACCTTTTTACTAAACCCAGACACGACCGATGTCTGTCATATATGCCTACTGACCCCTCTGGCACCACCCCAATGTAGGTTTTCTATGCGCCAGTCCCATTCGTCGTGTCTGGGTGTCGTTTTTGACACTACCCAACGCAGGTCGATTCTTGAAATGGCCTGTTTGGATCCTTTGGACTTCGGATGATTTGGTGAGGTCCTGTCGAGGATCCGTGGGTTCCACCCCGACGGAAGCCGGGTCCCGGACCCCACGGCCGAACGAGTCGCGTCTACTTTCGATGCGACCCTGGACCCGAATCCGGAGGGGTCTGGGGTCGAACCACTCCCTATAAAGGTTTTGAGGGACCGGCTGTGAACGGAGCGTCTGAACATACGACTTTGGGCCCCCAAAACCATGCATTAGGTTCTGTCTTTTTTTCGTCGTCAGGTGGAACGTCCACGAACTGGAGGCAATGCTTCCGTCGACCCGGCATTCCAGGGTCCAAGAAAATTCGAGACCAAAGAATCTTGGCCCTCCGAATCATGGCAGATGGGGGGCCCTGGGAAGAGTCGACATAGCTTTGTTCTCAGGGGGTAGATGATTTCGACTTCTGGTTCTATAGTGAGCCAGAGTCTTTGATCTTTCGCTCCGAGTCTTTGGAGCGCTTCGAAAGAGAAGAATACCGTGGATCCACCGATCCATCCGAAATCACTGGAGGGAAACCATCCCTGATATGGAGTGTCTGCCAGCACCTTCATGTCGGGGTCACCAATGGAAGCCCCTACACTACTAAAGGACCTCCAGCCAGGACACCCCTTGAAGGTCCAGGTGGGTATATATTCTCTTGTATATTCTCTTGCTGCATGGTGTGTGGCTCGGGATTTGTGACCTGCCGAGAGTCCGAGGGACACCCGAGCGTTCCACCCTTCCAACGAACACGTCGTGCAGTCGAAGAGGGTTAAGGGCTGACGCCCGACAGCCGGCCAGGGGCCCACGTCTAGAGAGGGAGCAGGGGAAGGTTGCGATGGCGAGGAGCATGGTGGTGGTGGTTAGGGATAAAAGGAATTACATACAGTATCCATGCATATATTATATATAGAGTCAAAAGACGATAAAAAGAATGGTCTTTAGGGGACCTGAAGGGGATCTTCCTTTACTTCAGCCGGTCAAAATATCGTCGAACTGGACTTCTAGGGTATACAGAGATCCTGGTGTTATCTCCAAAAAGGTGTTTGTTTGTATTTTGGCGTCTTCCTTGGATGAGATCGGAGGCAGGGAGGAATCGGATGCTGCGACCGCTGAGAAAGCGGAGCACTAGGTCACTAGGTGATCATACACCTAGTGTAGGATCAGCTAGTACCCTAGAGTAGCTTCAACGATGTGAGGTTCCGTGGAGTTGGGTTGAGTCCCACAATTCTGGTGCTTGTTTCACCGACGGCGACGGGTTTTTGTAAGAATCCGACTGGATTTGTTCAGATCTCTGCAGGCGTTGAAGCCGCTCTGCGGGCGTCAAACCACCTCCGTTTAGCCTTTGATGGAAGGACGACCTTTTTGGAAGGGTGGCGACCGGTACGTAGTTCCTTCCCACGAAGCGGACGATTGGGGTTTTACAGTCCTTTTTGTCCCTCCAAGTCACCCAAACTGCTGTGCCGACAAATCCCTAGGGACGATGCAGATACATATGGATGGAAGCGATTAGTAACTTAGTACTGACGGAACAGTGCGTAGCGATGAATCGAAGGTTCCTTCGTAGAGCACCGACTTCATTTTTATCCGGCAAACTGTACTGTGACGCGATCTCAGAGAGGACGCAGTGCTTAATAGCTTCCATGCCCCATGAGCAAAAGCAAAACAGGTCCCGTTATCAACGCCACTTCGTTTTGGTGGAGCAGCCCAATCAACAAGAAGCATGCTGGCGTCTAGACAAAAAAGAGGTCTAAGCACGCGCATTGACTGTTACGACGCCTGAGCCCAGAGCCGTTGAGCAATTGGAGGACATGACAGGTCATGCTTCACTTGGACTGCCCGAAGTGATGAAGTCGTGCAGCGGCCTGGAACTGCGCAGACACGGCCTGGGACTCTTCTAGCCTTCGAGGGGTGGGCCAGATCCATTGTTGACAGCACGCTAAAGCCCTCAAAGCTTTTCATGCCATATTCGCATCGCGCGCCCGATGCCGCGCCGATGCCGCGGTGGCAGCCGAGGTTGGGCTGCACGAGTTCCAACCCATTGGACCGTCCCTGGGAGCGGCTTTTGTAGCTTTCAGGTCGTGAGGGATTGATTGATTGGTCAGTGGATAGGTAATTACGTTGATGTTTTTTTGTGTCTATATTGCTTACTCGATGTTACTCGTTTAACAGTGTTGGCATGGTTGGTATGTACTCTTGCCAAGCCTTAGCCACAAGAAACTTCAGTTCCACTGATCAGATACCTGACCCTAAAGGAATGGGATGAACACATTGTTCTGAAAGTAGAGGCGCAGTGGGAGAACTCTCCACGTTTCGACCAACTGCATATATTCTCAACGCTGGTTGGTTCGGGTGCTTTGGTACGGAAACATTTATGGTTCGTTGCTACAAGGTCTTGAAAAGCAAGAGTTGGTTCTCTTTGGTGTCCATGCATGATGTGCATGATCTTGCTTCCTGGCCCGCCGGTCGAGTCGCAAGTGAGAGGAACTGTTGGCCATTGCTGGTGTGGGATATTGGTCTCTTTAAAGGCCTTCCAGCACCATCCACACAATGTGTTCGTGCCAAATTTCTGGATTTGAAAGTCAGTTGTATCATGTTGCATCAGGTCGGTCTCCCATTCCCCAGGGATCCCAGTGCCTTCTCACTAAGGTGTTTGGGGTGGGTTTGGAGGGTCCATGGTGCCTTCTGAGAAGGTACTTAGATCCCTAGGGATTGTTAATCAAAAACCCCCAAACATCACCCAGTCGGTCTCCCATTGTGGGAGGGAGTGGTTCAATATTATCCACGTCAAGCGTGCTGTTCTGAGCCCACCCTTGCTAAGCCACAATTTTCCAATGGTGATAAAAAGTAGATCAAATCTGTAAGTTCTAATGTGAAGTTTTTGACCACTTGTGACTTTCAACATGAACCACAGGCCACAACCACAGGCCACCGCCGGTGCCTCTCTCTGCCCTCTAACATCGCATGCTTTCTCTCGTTCACGTTCTCCCCCTTCCGTGGTTGTTCTGAGGCTTGGAGCGGGCGCAGAGCAAACTGGAGGCTTGGGCCAATAGCCACCACCCCAAGCCGGATCCGGTGCTCGCAGGCGCGGACGTGGCGCCAACCGCCGAGCTTCCGGGTCGGGACGAAGCGGACGGAGCCGAGGAAGCCGAGCGCACCTGCTCCAGAGACCAAAGACTGCAGAACTAGCGCAAGTGTTTTGGGGTGTGAAGTGAGACAAAGCGCCCGTGTTCTGTTCAAGCGAACTTGCACATTCATCATGTAACCGGCGGGGTCCTTTGCTTTCGCTCAGATAATCGGGTGGATCGCCCCCCCGCACATCCCATATTATATATTATACACACACCGCATGCATCGAACTGGACACACAACCAAACTCTCATTTGATGAACCTCGATGGGCTCATGGTTCGAGTTGCAGTCGTTCTAATCACCTCGATCGTGATGATCATCGAATCTCGCGCGAGCTTTGAGGTCTGGTGGATTACCAAAACATGGACCTTCCCAACTTCGTGGAAGAGCCCGATCCTGCCACGACGGCAGTGGCCGTGGCTGTCCCTGAGCAGGCGAGGGAATTTTTGTGCGTGTGGCGGGGCGGTGGGCAGAAAACATGACCGATTCAATATGATACTCAAGTATATAGAGATATTGGTTATAGGATATGGAAGACAGGACCATTTTAAGGATTTGATTTGAGTCACTCTCAAGTCTGTTTGAGTTGGGCTTCAGTCCAGTGGATCAGATCTGGGCGATCGGTTGAGTCATCGCCATCCGCCACCGAAGACGTTTCCAGTGGAACTTCCCGACCGGCATCCGAACCGGTCAGACGGCTGAGACCCTCTAGGTCAAAGATCTCATTTTCCGGTCAGACACACCAAAACACCAACCGAAGACGATGTTTTTTTTGTTTTTAACGAAGAGATGTCCAGCACAACGGCCGTGAAGTCAACCCTGCCATCTAGCAGCACCCATTTCGGGTGCTTATTGGATGGAACCAAAAGCATCGACTCATGGGTGTCTATACAACACCCAAACTGGGTGGTGCTGGTCTATACCGTTCCACACGAAAAACCGTCCCCACGTTGGTGGACTCACTTGGACGAACGTTGGTCGATTCGACGCGCCGCACCTGCTCCGCTCTCCGCGTTTGGGACTACCTGGACCATCCTGTCTGGGTGTGGAGGGTAGTCCACCCTACTCTACCTGTCTTGGATCTCTATACCAGGACCCTCCAACAGGCTGTTTAGGGACCCTAACAGGTGGTTTCTGGGCACCTGTTGTCACCAGGAAGCACCTGTGAAGTCGGGTGCTGGTACAGGTAGAGATGATTCGGATCGGTGATTGTAGTCGGAGATTTGTTGCGGAGATCTTTTGATCAGGAGGAGACCGAGGCCGTCGAGGAGACCGAGGGCTTCTCCTACGTGCGCTCGGCGAAGAACAAGCGCAAGAGTGTCAAGGGCGGCGGCAGGCAGACGGGAGAAGCCCGCACCGGGAGGCATTTTTTGGGGATTTCAGGCACTGAACAGGGCACCTTAGTGACATGTTGCGGTGGTCCGGTGGTTCGGGAAGAGAGGGAAGATGGGTGAAACAGTGAGAAGTCTTTCCTCCATGATCTCAACTCCGCTCTATCGTCTGTCGGTTTTGTGAAGTCAAACCTGTTCACTGCCTATCGATGTGTGTACCGTTAGAAGCAAAACAGCTCCCCCACATGGATAGCCGCATAGCCCTCACCTGGAAGAGGTTTTTTTCCTCGAATGGACACCCTTTTGGATCGACTCTGTGACCCTTCCACCTCGCATTTTTGGATCTCCCTGCGTTTTTTTTTTTTGGACCCATTTTGGGGTTCCGTTTCGGTGGTCGTTGCGTTGGCTTCCATCTCGCATCTCTCGCAGGCAGACCTTCAGCATGAAAGACAAGGTCCAGGATATCTTCGCGGTCACTCGGCGAAGGAAGATGCGAAGACCGGTCCCAACGATGATATTGTCGGGGTGGTCCAAAACCGGCGGTTGTGCCGAAACCGGCCGTCGCTCTCTTTTTCGGCGTCTCGCAAGAAGAACACACATCGCGCACCTTTTTTTTAAACCAGGAATTCTCAGATGTTCTCAGAGTGTCAGAACATGTCAGAGGCAAACGGAAGGGTAGTCCACACACCCTCCATTTAGCCTTCAACATGTTTTTCTTTTGGGAGGGGGAAAAAGGCCATGGTCTCGGCATGACACGGAGTCTCGACGACCAAAGCGGTCAGAAGGAGGAGTCGCAGATTCTAGGAGCATGCCATCCAAAGGATTGGAAGAGTGATACCTAGATCTTCCAATTGTGCAAAGTTTATGTTTGTTCATCCATGCAGCCAGCCAAAAGGCAGACATGTTGCATAGTTGGAAGATGAATCATTATCTAGGTATACATAAATTCATATTACATAGTACATTTATACCATCATTTGCAATTGTTTGAAAACCACTTTCCCATGAACAATGACTCCTCCGCTGGTGACACCAACGATGCTCTGGTGGAAGAAGGCCGCAACGTTCGCCGTCTCGACCGGGGATGGCCCGGCCACGGAGCGGTCAGTGCGTGTAGCACTCGTGCTAAGGCTCAAATGAGTACACGGGACAAGTACAAGAAGAGTGGAGTCGCGCAGAAGATCGTGCCCCGCTCGAGGTGGTGGAGTTGCGGGAGGGTTGTGGTTGGTGATCCGACGGAGTGTGGGTTGGAAGCCACTCCACAGTGTGGGAGGGGTGTAAATCTTTGGCTGGGTAACCGACTAGCGATGGCCTCCAACCTAATAGCGATGGAAGAAGGAACCGCTAACAAGTTTTACAGTTTGGGATCTCCTGATGGATGTGCTTTTGCGCCTGTGTTGCTTCGTCCGCCTAACGGTTTTGCCGTCGGACGGGCCGTCTTCCGAAGGATCGTGGAGGGGTGCCCTCCACGTGTGAACCCTGTGATGCGCTCGGAGTGTTGACTATAGTAATCCCCCCAGAATATGGAGCCGTTCTGGTCAGGGGTGGTTTGTTAATCTGCAGTCTACAGTGCTCTTGAAGTGGCTGGAGGAATTCTGGGAGGGTTCAGCTCTGGAAGCTGGTCCTTGTGTCGCACGGTCCCTTCAGTCTCAGAAGCCAATTGATCCGGGCCCTGCGCGAGATATGGCAAGCATCGTTGTAAGCAAGAACTTGGCAATATCCTCCTGTGAATATGGGATTATAAACATGTTCTATTGACCACTTTTAACGGACAAAGTGGATGAGGGCTTCCAACTTTGGCCACAAAGTCTTGCGTCAACAACTTCGTTGCGGTTTGTTCGTTTGATTTTGTCCTCCTTTAACGGAAAAAACCATGCATGTAACGGCGGAGTCGTTTGTGGTTTGATTGCGTCCTTTTCGACGACCGACCGAGACCAGCCGAGACCCGTGAGGTTCGTGTAGAGTGTTCGTTGAGTGTCATGAGTGTCGTTCGCCAAGGTTCGAAGCACTCACTTTGAGAACCTCTGCATGTTTGTGATCTTTCTCAACGCCATTTGGAGCCTTAGTCTCTCACTGACTCACGACGACAGCGCGACAGCGATAGCTAGCGATAGCTAGCGATAGCTAGCGATAGCTAGCAAAGAGATTTGGACCAGGCATTTGGATGACAACTTCTTGGAAGGGATGTTCACTCTCTTGGTTTTGCTTTTGCTTATATAAGGATTTCATTGTGTTTTTTTCTGTGGCTGAATCCCCTTCTGGGCAATATTGTCTATTCTTTACGGGTCCCTGGTTAGCAAACGTCAATCTTTTTCCGAGTAGCCCTTCGACGATGGACAAATAGCACTTTCCATGGTAAAACCATGTAAAACAAAGATCCTATGGCCGGGGGTTATTTTGTTTAGCAAATAATAGCAAAAATAGATTGAAAACAAAATATACATGCATATATAATTGAAATCTCTTCAACAACATAGTCTACAGCTCAACATCTATCACACTGAATAAAGAGGGACGCGCGTTTCCTGCGATGTGAAGACGCGCGTCATCCTGACTGGTGCGACTCGTAGAGAACAAAGGTGGCTGACAATCCACTATACCAGGACCCTCCAAGGGGTGTCCAATGAACTACCCACACTACCTATAGGCTTCCATTGGGCACCCCTTGGAGGGTCTTGGGATAAAACCCTGTGGATTGAAGCACCTGCTTTAAAACGTCTCCTGCTTTTGCCGAGGAAGTGGGCGTTTCACAAAGAAGTTGGCGTTTGCACATGGCACAAACCTATGGTTCAACATCCCTCACCACCAAGGAGCAAAATGTTCCCAGCCTTTCAATATTGCGACTCGTGCAACTGCAACTGCACGAGGCAACGACGTAACGATCCTTTTGATCTCTGATCTCACGACGTCTCCCGTGCCCAAACGAGCTTAGCAGGACGACCCGACGCAGGACCGGACGCAACCAACGTACGACACAGGACTCGGCTTCTGTGAAGAAGGACGCTCCAAAGGCCATGGCCAATGGCAGCGCAAGGGCAGTGTAACTCCAAAGTGACGCCAGCATGCGATGCCTTTGTTCTTAGCGCAAGAAAGCGCAAGAAACACTTTGGCTGGAGAAGTGTCTATCTGGCTGGACACCCCCGTGTCCTGTAGGAAAGGACCTTGATGACCCAGGATGTCCAGCGAGAACCTTTCAAAATTAAATCGCTCATCTCTATTCTCACCAAGAAAGGCTCGCAACTCACCATTGATCAAATCAGCGGGTCTACGCTTGCAAGCTAGCTTCATCAGGTGAACTTTCGCTGAAGACTTTGTCTAGACCAGCATGGCTCTCATGAAATATATCAGGGCGACAGAGGCAAGCTAGGTCTTGCTCGTTCAAGGAAGATACTCCTTCGCAAGGGGCCCGGATTGGACCAGTGGTCCGTCCGACTGGCCCGCGCCGCCAAGGCCCATTTCAATAGCAATCCTTCAGCTTTCTACTTGATTCAGTGGATTTGCCAACGTTGCTGAAACTCCGAGTGTGGTTCTGTGCTTGGCGTAATTGACGTAAGAAAGGGGCACCCCAGTGAGACCAAGGATCGCTACTTTCCAATTTTCACTGTTCACTGAAGCCTTCTTGGAAATGCTCATGCAGATATCTGCCCCATTTATGCAGCAAAGACAGATTGAAACTTGTCACACTTGTTTTTGCAAAGCTCACTCTTGATAGCTGTAAATGTTGCCGCGCAAAGTGTTGCCGCGCAAAGTGTTGCCGCGCAAAGTGTTGCCGCGCA